TGATCTGCCTGGGCCACTGTAATGAGAACAGGAGAGGGGACTGGGAAGTCGACTCTCTCTCCAGGAGATGTTTGGTTAGGGGGTCATTGGTACCTTGACCAATCAACTTGACCAAGACATCCAGGATGGATGGTGGCTCCACCCGTGCCAACTCATCCTTGATTTGCTCACTTAGGGCATGTCGGAAATGGTAGCGCTGTGCCACCTCATTCAGCATTTGCTGCTAGAACTCTGCAACAAGCTTGGTGATCAACCTATTTCCCCGGCACGGCCCCCAAAGCAGGTTCTCAGCAGATCATGTGCAATTTGGATCATCAAACACCATTGCCGTAGCTCAGACAAACACTTGAAACTGCCCCAGCAGGGGTCTAGACGTCTCCAGGAGGGGAGACACAGAGGCCAAGGCCTCCCCAGTTAGCAGACTAATAATAAGTTCTTCTCGGGTCTGGTCAGTGGAGAACAACTGGGGCCGAAGCATAAACAGGAGCCAGCATTCCACAGAACTTGTTATGGTACCCAGCAAACTTACCCGGGATTGGAATCTCTGACTCCCTAGAAGCCAGGATGGCAGCTACTGGCAGGATGGCTTGAGCCCATAGAGCTGCAAGGCCATAATCTGGGCCTGTAGGGTCTGCAAGGTCCCACAATGTTTGGCAGGAGCACAGTTGCCTCTTCAGAATCCATCTAAAGGGAAGTCCAGCCACTTACCCAACCGTGTTCAATCTTTTGAGCTGCTCAGACTGTCAGCGACCAAGTCATGAGCGGTCTGGCCTAGTGATTGAAGCAAGAGTCCAGTCTGTCATTTATCACTGAAGCCAGATGTGGCAGATCCAGGAGTGGAGCCAAGGGTCATAGCTGGGAGTCAGAGACTAAAGCCTAAGCCAAAGGGTTAACCAGAGTCGCAGTCGGAAAGCGGAGCCGAGGGTCTTGGCTGGGTGTCAGAAGTCAGGAAGTCGCTGGAGGCTGGAGCAGGCACAGGCTGGAGAAGAAGCAGGAGCAAGGCCAGAGACAGTGGACCAAGTGCAGCTGCTGGCTAGGAATGTGTTGAGAAGCCACTGGACTGCTGCTGCTCCTATTGGGTTCCGGGAAGCAGGCGGGCACAAGCCCGCCCATTGCTAAAGGACCCTCCCCAGCCTGAGGGGAGGATCCACAAGGACCAGGAACTCAAATAATTACGGGGGACAGCCAAACATGTAACAGGGGCAGGTGTGAAGGTCAAAGGGTCAAACAAAGGGAACCTGAAGGGGACACTGACAGGGCTGGCTCCAGCTTTTTTGCCGCCCCAAGCGGCGAAAGGGAGGGAAAAAAAAAAACAAGCCTGGTTGAGCTGCCACCAAAGTGCGGCTGAAGAGGGAGAGAGGGACTGCAGGGCCTGCCGCCGAATTGCCGCCAAAGACCCGGACGTGCCGTCCCGATGACAGACGGAGTGCTGCCCCTTTCTATTGGCTGCCGCAGGCACCTGCTTCCTTCGCTGGTGCCTGGAGCCGGCCCTGGACACCAAGCATGTATTGCTACAGAGTCTAGATGTCAGGTTGCAGGAATTGGCAGCCAATCAGGTAGCACAGTCAATCAGACAGCTTCCATCAGGGCCAGCTGTGCTCCTTTGGGTTGCCAGGAGGCTGGATCTGCTGCAGGCTGACACCTGACATTGCTCTTGACTGGCTTATCAGAAGCCAATAGTAGGGTTGTGGTTTTTTTCCTGGCCCTGTAATTTCATCCCTTCTTAGCAAGTCACCTCAAAGAAAAAAAACAAAACGTTTACACTTTAAGAAATTCATGACCATAATAGAAGAGATTTCCAGAGCTCTCTGATGAAAACATTCAGAATTTGAGGACCAGCAAAATGCATTGTCCCTTGAGCGAACTTGGCTCTACATTAACTCTTCGGTCAATATATCTTGACATTCTTCTCAAGAGGAGCCAATATCTGCCTATTTTTCTACATCATCCTAAACCCTCCCATGCAACATATGACACGACAAGATTACTCTGTTTTTACTGAATCATCTTTAAAGGCAGGATATTGAGGGATTCATAGCTGGGAAGCGTGTGTCATTTTTGTAGCTGCTGTGTGGTGGCATGAGGGTGGGAAGTTTAAGAATTACAGAAAATGGATGTGTGGGAATATGCCTGCCTTAACCCATGTCGAATACAAAATGCTTCACACCAAGAGAAAATGTGGGCTGCTAAATACTGTGATAGTTTAAGGACCTTACCTCTAGTGCGCTTGTTGAATCCCACTGCACTCCTTAGAATATGAGAATCTCAGGATTTCTCACATTGTTGGGATAGGGGCATGGAAACAGAGGGAAGAACCAGAGACACTTTTCAATGCCAATAAATGTTAGGAGTGAGCCTAACACTGTTGCTAAAACAGACATGGCTCTACTCACCAAAGAGGCGAATCAGAGAAGCTGAGAAAAGAGGAAAACAGATCATAAGTTACTTCATAAGATAACCTTTCTGGCTAACGGGCTTGTATCCCTTTAACCCACAACTTTTTTCTTCAAGGGGCATTGCAGGGAAGAGACAGTGACCCATTTATTGATAAAAGCTTCCTGAATGTCCACAGGCAAGTCACCAAGGGTACGTCAGCACTGCAATTGGGGGTGTGATTGCAGCCCCTGTAGACATACCTGTGCTAGCTTTAATGTAGTGAGGTCAGGTACCAATAGCAGTGAAGAAGCAGCAGCATGGGCTATACAAGCCCACCTGGGTATGTACTCATGTAGCTAGCCTGTGCTGCTATGGCTTTACTGCTATTGCTATATGAGCTAGTTAAATTAAAGCTAGCTTGGTTACATCTATACATATTGCAATCACACCCCTGACTGCAGTGGAGAGGTACTTAGTGTCTCTGGGCTTCGGTTCCCCAGGAGAGGATAACAGCATAGCCCCAATGTCACCGGGAAGTTGTAAGGATAAAGACATTAAAGATTGAGAGGCACTCAGATTCTATGGTAATAGGGCTGGATCAGTATGATTGATAGATAACTGGTGAAAGTTGGGATTTGTAAAGGTTTCTTCTTTCCCTTCTCCTGGACTTTCTTTTCACTTACACTGTGGATAGCAGCCCATCTCCTAGCAGTGACTATGGCAGCACAGACTCTAGGAATGCTAGTCTTATGGGAGATGAAACAGGCAGCCCGACATCGGTGGTGAAAGCAGCAGCAGCAGCGTTTGGAAATCTCTAGGCAGGAACTTTTGCCTCAACAGCAGCTCTGGAAGGGACTTGTATTAAACATGACCACCAACAATTGCTTTGACAACAGTCACAGATTCAGGCCCCTCGCCCCAACATGAGAGAATCACATGAGAAAAGTGCATACTGGGTGTTAGGATGACTGGTACATTGGGACCGTGGCAGGAAGGAGGTGTTCCCTCAACAATAGTCACATCATTTGCGGAATTATGACCTCTAAAAGACCCCACTTCCGAAACTATTCTGCAGCTTGCTGTGTGCCATGTGGTTATCACCTGTCACCCCAGAAGTGGCTGCATGTCAGTGGAGCTTTGTGTATGTATGTGTGAAATGCTTTTTGATCCCTTAGGATGATATGCAACCCTATAAATACCAGATAATAATAATAATAATTAATAAATACTGTAATTGCTGCAAGCTCCCTGACACAAGGACTGTCTTATTTGTGTATCATACATAGCCAAACACTTGGTTGGAGTTTAGTAAATGAAATTATGATTATATAGTCCCACTCACCTGACTGAGGTGACATTCTTCCCCCTGGTTATCACACTTGTGATTTTAAATAACATTTTGTCAACCCCTGCCAGCTCCTCTTCCCTTCTAGGTTTCATGCCTGGAGTGCATATCAGTCCCAACAAATGAATCAAGGACTCGCTCTGTTGTAGAAGTAATCCAAAAGGAAAGAGAAAAAAAAAACCAAAAAGAGGAATGAACTCCACCACCCTTGAGTGGATCTCATATTTATATGATCAGCCATGATTACAGATTTAGGGGACTGGAGGCTCAGACATAACATTTGAAAGTCATGGCTGTTAGGTGACGTTTATTCTGTTTAATCAGTGTGCTGAAAATCTCCACAAACACAAGATTAGCATTCCTAATAAACCTGTAGCTTGGAACCTTGCCAGCAATAGGAAAGTATCTACCTGGCCATTTTTCTGTGCCATGCAGCAGTAGCACTAAGGGCAGAACCAGCTCCACCCATAAGCTGGAGAACTGAATCAAAACATGATGATGTACTGAATTCCAGAAGTAGGCAAAACGCTACTCTGCCTCCATTTTAAAGTATGTGGGGCTGATTATCCTGTTACTTACACCAGTGTAAATGAAGAATAGCTCCCCTGAAGGCCGTGGAGTAACATAGCTGTAAAACCAGTGTAAGTCAGGGGAAAATCAAGCCCTATGTGTGAGTGCAAGTCCACTAGGGGCTAGTGAAAGGTGCCGGGCTGACAACCCTCGAAATTAGACACTACTCTTTACTCACAGAATGGCATAGCATGGGCAGTGACAATGCAAGCTTCCTCCTTACTGACCCACCTATGTACATCAGCGTTGAGGTAGAAAGGCCACCTTGAGAGATGAATGGGTAGTAGCTTAAGTTTCCATGACCCATGCAGCTTTTGGACATCTCTGCTGTGACTGACAGCAAGGTTGCCCATGGGCATCTACTGTGATGTAGACAAGAGGTTTGGAATGTAGATAACCTGTCCACTAGGAAATTAATTGAGACAGCAGTCCACTGAAGAGATGGCAGCAATCACTACTGAACGGGGCTGGAATTCAGTCTGTCCCCGTCCCTACACAAACCGTTCTGTTTCAGAGTTCTGTGATATTCAAGGCCATTGGAGTAATAAAGCAACAGAACACTTTTGTGGAACAGGGCATGTTTCCTGGCTGTGGTGGCAAATGATTGTGGGGTCATTTCACACTCTTCACAGTGGGGTTCCGACAGCTGAGGGAGCCTAAACTCAAGGTCATTTTATTCAACTTACTTTGTTTCCATTTTTCATTGCAGGTCAGCGCTTCTTATTATACTGCACCAGGATCCCTGGGGCACTCAACTGCCATTGTCACCCTTCCGCATCTTCAGCAACACATATCAGCTAATATGTACGTATGAGTATTGAAACTTTGTTGCTTTTGTTTCAGAGGGTGGCAGGGAGCTTGACTCGTGAAAGCCCATCTTAGATATATGGCATCTCATTTTCAGTGGGGCTTCTGGGGGCTTACCCAGCCAAAGCAGAATGGACACTAAGTGTTTTCCTGAAGTAACACGCCGATGAGGAGCTAAAATCAGATTAGAAGCTGTGATTCTTTGGACTCCTAGTTCTTTCTTACGCATTCTAACCACCAGATCACTGAGCCCTAGTAAAACTCTTGAACTCACAGCCTGACTCTTAGGCCAGTGAAAGGACATAGCACTGTAGAAAAATAAAGATAGAATATTGGCAGCACACAAGGGCTTTTCATAGATTTCGAGTGCTTTTGCTCACTTTAAATTAGTATGATCTTCATATTTCAGTTACTACAATCCTAACACTGTGGGTTTTTGTACCTGATTGTTTATCTCTTTCCAATGCCTGTTGAATTACTGATGTGTTTCTACATTTTCAAACCAAAAATTCTTTAAAAGTGAACTGAAATGCTCTTTAAATTTAACTAATTATTTTAATTAAGAAACGATTTAAAAGTTAATTGATTTTTAAAATAAATCATTCAAAGAAAAATACATGTTGAGTTAAAATTTGCAAATAAATATATGGCAGTTGTTTTGTCTGTCTGTCTCCTGGACAAGAATCAGCAGCCTAGCTCTCATGATAAGCAACCCTACAACAACAAACAAGCATGAATGCAGTCTACTGCACATGAGCAGTTCTATATTGAAAATCGAGATCCTGATCCTGCAAAGATAAATACCTATTAGGAAGGTGTATAACTTTGAATTATTCTCATGCATAAACTTACACACACAGACCCTGATCCTTCAAAGATTTACACACATGCTTACTTTAGATCCATGAGTAATCCTGATGACCTGAAATGGGAATATACAAGGGGTTGCAATTAAGCACATGTGGAAGAATTTGCAGAATTAGGGCCATACTGAAGTGTTGGTAGGATTGGGTCCCTAATCTGGACCATTCATTGCTCAGAACCTACAGTAACAAACTAGCATGAGTGCAAGCTACCACCTAAGCACAGTACTTCAATTAAAAAAAATAAACCACTGGGGAGTTAGAGCAGGTCTGAATTTAGCCCCATCTGCACAAATAATAGAAGGAAAAATCCTCTTATAAGGAAAGACATTTCAATTTCAAACTTCCAAATGGGTGTTATGACCAACAGAGAGAGAACAATCGCTTTTAAGAACTAGCAAAAAGTCCTTGACAGTCTCCTTTTTTTTAATAACTCTTGGTTTTGAGGTGATGATAGTTGCTGTAGCATCTGCTACTCAGATTAATATTTGAAAACAGACCACATCCCACTTGGGAGAAGAAAAAAAAAAACAATGCAATTAGATAAAATGTGTGTCTCCTTGGAGACAAATAAAAGTTCTTTTTTTAAAAAAAAGCCACAGGCCCTTGGGAAAAGGGTAAAATTGAAAAACAGGTGGATGAGATTTTTGATGTTTTGTTTTCCTTATTTTTTGCCATTCTGTCTTATGAGGACCCCTGCTGAGAACAAGCAATCTCATTACACAACTGGAATCAGTGGGGGTTTTTTGTTTTGTTTTGTTTTTTAAACACAGCTCTCTGAGCAGGTTTGCTAAGCAGGAGAGACAGGCTGCAGGGAGCCCCCAAACACTTGTACAGGAGACAGCCATAACTTGGCAGTACATGCTGAGGAAAGCAAAGTAGATGGGGCCGGGTATCTGGCTAATGCTTTCTATGGAGCTCACAGTCCCTTTGGGTGTGTCTGGGTGAGATTATAACCAACAGAAGCTGGCAGGAAGACCCAGGTTAACAAGTCCTGTTGCTGACCACATACTGATCCCATTGTACCTTTCAAAGATATAATGCCTCCTTGACACAGTCTTTTGGGTGGTACACCTCACCTGCGCTCTAGTGCTGCTCTGCTTTGGAAGATGCATAACTCCATCCCTAATCAGTTATTTCAGTGGAGTATTCACGGTTGGAGAATAAAAACAGCCCCCTCCAACACGAATACTGGACCCCTTTGGCTGAGACTGACAGTTCTAGGTCAAAAAATGTTGACAAAGACTGCTTCATTCCTGGTAGCTTTTCTTTTATTCATATCCCCCCTGGCCTTAAGATGTAAGCAGTTACCTTCCTACAAAGCCTTTCCACATTCATGACAGCACCCAGATATATGATGCGAGTGCCAGCTGAAGATGCTTCAGGCAATAGGCCCTGCTCACACAGAACCAACAGCATCAGCTCCCAGAATGATTAGAAACAGGATTGTTGTGTCATCTCCTATCCTTACTGCACACGGGGGAGGCAACTTTTCCATAGTGCATGTCTGTGCTTTTCTAATTTCCTGTGTATCACCAGGTGCGTCGCTCTACACTCCTACACTGCTCATGGACCGGAGGAGCTGGATTTGCAGAAGGGAGAAGGTGTTCGTGTTTTCGGGAAGTACTACGAAGGCTGGCTCAGGGGAATGTCATTGGTCACTGGAAGAGTTGGGATCTTCCCCAGTAACTATGTTGTTCCCCTTTTCAGGTCTGATTTCCTTATGTGAAATAATGTATTTGTAGAAGGAGTGGTACAGTAGGTAATCCTGGGGGGGATATAATGAAAGAAGCTCACTGCCTGGCTCCAGGACAGTGAGATTGTCCTAGAATATTGATCATGGCTGTCAACACCATGGGTATATGGAATGCTGTCCTGCTGCCACCCCTCCGGAATAACTGGATCTCATTTCACATTATCCCCTTCTGTACTATGCCATTGGCCACATGTGCTTTCACCTCCCTCTGAAGATCAGGCACTGGCCACCACCAGCTGTAAGATACCCAGTTGGGTGGATCAGGGTTCTCACAGGAATTGCCGTATGGTCCAGATAAGATGGACAAATGAGCAGTTATGGCGACATCCTTCATTCGTCTCTTTTGAATCTGAAATGTCAACAGTGTAATGCAGTCAGAAGCCCTTTTCAATACTGCTCAGTCCACTCCAGGATTTAAGGAAACCCTGTTTAGTAACATGCGGCAACATGCTTAGTTATTTTGGAGCCAAAGAGCCATCAGGAACCACAGGGTCTCTCTGTGCCCAGCGGCCTCAAGAAAGAATCCCCTTTATATTTGTTTCAAGACCCTACTGGAATCAAAGCACTGTCGTCAGAGCAGCTGTTTGCTCCAAGCGTTGGAAGGTGTTGACCTAGCGATATAAAAATGTGCATTAGCAACCCCCTAAAGTCAAGTCAGTACCTAGGCAACATCTTTTAGGAACATCATGGCTTTTTTTTAAAGCAGAGATTCCACTGCTGAAAAATGCACTGTGGATTGCTTCAGCTTCTTTTCTCTCTTACAAGCAAGGCAGGGATGGACACCAGAGTAAAGCGGGAGAGCGACCTGCAGAGATGAACAGCTAAGGACTTGTGGGGATGATTTCCAAACCTACCCACTTTCCTTTCATCTGTGACCACATCAAAGCAGCACAGCCCCTTTTACAGATGCAACAGCCTATCACTCAAGGGTGTGAATGCCACGGTGGGAGCGGAATTGTTTGGGCTGATCCAAGGAATAGGGAGATGAAGTAATGCATGTGAAAATGAAGCTTGAGTGTCAGAGATGGGAGGGAGTGCCAGGAGGGAGTCTATTGGTTTGCAGAGCAGTCTGCCAAAGGGAATAGTGCCTCCCTTTGGTTATTCAAAACTGGACTAGAGAAAGCACTCTAACATGTACCTGCAGCCATAAAAACTCAGGTAAATACCACTTCCCTACTCCAGGGAGGTGTTGTGAGGGTAAATACATGAAAGATTGCAAGGTGCTCGGTACTATGGTGATAGGTGCCATACAAATCCGATTGACTGATTTATAGATATCAATAGATAGCACCTTGAGATGTGGTTGGTCAGCACTTAGAAAGGAGACTGTCACAGGAGGGGCTGCCCCACACCAGCGCTAGGAGTAGCTCCCCAAACAAAAGTTCTCCCCATCTTGATTTCATATAAATGGGTCCAACGAGAAAGCTCATCCTTTCTGGATCATGAGCAGTGTAACGTAGGGCCTGATTCATCATTGCCCTGCACTCTGCACAGTCACTTACCCAACTGCAAAGTGAAGTAAAACACTCCCATCCTGGTCTAGGAGCATTTTACACTGGTGTAAACAGCCCTGTCTGATGCAGAGCAATGGGGAATGAGACCCTCTGTCCTCTAGACTTTCCCCCACTGTTGCCCCCACTTTTCAGATACAGCAGTCAGGCCTGGAAGGTGCACAAGCCCTATCTGCATCTGCTTCCCAACTGCTTAAACCCTTCATGCCTAGTTCAAAAACTCAGCACACATGACAGGGAAAATGAGGTCTGGGGATTTAATCCTAGCTGGGCAGTCACCCACACAACTGCCTGGGACTTCCTAGTTCCAAAAGGATAGCATGCCCTATCTCAGAAACCTTGTCAGGAACTGAGTACCTCACCACTGAGGAAAGGTCAGACCAGCTCAAGCTGTGTGTTGCCCTCTAGTGGCAGAGCAGAGATAAGCCAGAATTCTGATACACGGATAACATGAGCTTCGCCTCTGGCTCCTGCCCAAGATGCCTGTGCTTTAACAACAGAAGTTGAGTTCTATGTTAATGTATGGCCATGAAGTCCAGTGCAGCTAGCATGCCCTAGAGACTGCAAAGTCCTGGGAAGCCACAGACACATTACAAACTCCAGGGTGGTGTGAGAAGCAGGTATTGGGGATATGCAGGTGGCTCCCTGTCTGGTGAGTCACTCCTGAACCAGTGCCCCAGGATGGTGTGAAGGGGTGCTGCCTTTTGGATGAAGGAGCGATCAGCTATGGGAGTGTGCCTCAGTTTGGACTATGTGAAAACTTATCAAGGAACTCAAGCTTTGACCCACTGAAATAGCCTAATGGTGGCCTAACTCCCTCCACATTATCTCTGACATTGACAGATAGACTCTGGCTCCTTTTTCTTTTCCTGCTTATATTTCACTGTGTTAAATTCTCAGTTCAGACTGAAGATGATGCTGCTGCTTTGATCCCAGCATTAGCCCTCCCTGATTTAAAGGGAGCCAGTGATTATTCTTTGTCTCTTTGACTCATTTCTCTGTGATACAGCCTCTGATAACACCATGGCCCCAACTCCCTGCTAAACAGAGCAAACAAACAATCCAACACAAAGCCCAGCTACCCTAAAGTCACCTAAGCCATAAGCACCAATTTGGGAGCTGCTCTTCTGTATCCTCCTTTGGACAGTTCATCATAATAAATTGACGCGCCAGTTATTTTGATAAATCGCCACTCTGTTATTAAACCATAAATCATTCTTCTACTGTCGGAGAGAGTCATGGGAAGGGAAAGAGAAGGGTCAGAAGGAGCCGTCTTTTCCCTTTCAGAGGAGTTAGCAGACAGCCTTTACCCTGGCTGACTTTCCCACTGAATTAGGAGCATTTGGGAGGGTTATTAAGCATCACGCTGATGTGGGAGATTGAAGGCCTTTATGGCAATTTAACGGATTTAGATGAAAAAGCCAACATGCCCTCTCCAAGGAAAGCAGATGAGGAGAGGAATAATAGGAAGTGACAGCTGCTCGCAATGGGGCCCGAACAGAGGCTGGCAACCAGAGTCAGAAGGGCAAGGAGTGTGAAAGCTGCCACAGCCTTTTCCTTAAGGATCATTGTGCTCCCTTTAGTGCTTTCTGGTGAGAGCTGTACCAAGAGCCAAGGTGTGATGTCAGCAAGCCAATGGGCTCTCTTGCCCAGCTCATTCAGTGCAGGACAATGGGTCAGACACAGGCCGAATGAGCAAAACGAACATGTTTTAGCTGCATGGAATTTTTACAGTAATACTGAAATGGTCCCATTTCCCTTTGGAGAGGCACAGATCAGACCAGAACACCGAGTGAGGTTAATTCACCAAGCTAGCTTCAGAGCATGTTAAGCTACCTACAGCACAATAGCTTTCCTTCCCTAACTCAATGGGTGGAGTGCAAACCTATGATGAGTATTTACATATGACCGTGTCTGCAAGATTTCGATGGCTTCTGTGCTACTTAACACATTAGTAAGTGGGACAAATGCTGCAGCTCCACACAATAATTACCTGGCATGTCCCCTGCTGGCATTATGGAAGAACACTGGCCCCTAAAAGCCCCCCTTCCTTTTGGCACCCCATGGGAACTGTTGCAAATGATTCTAGGTTGTGTCTGAGAAGGCCCAGGTATAAAGTGGGCATGTGGGAGTGATGGGAGCAATAGGGCTGAGAATGATTGCTCTAATGGAACCAGAAAGTGAACTGCAGGGATTCCAGAAGGATTTTTTTTAACCTGATGAACTCTAGGGACGGATGGGCTGTTAAAAATTCTGATCTGGCTCCACAGTTTTGCAAACAGTCCTTTTCTTTGTAATGGGCTGAACCAAAACAGAAAACAAAAAAACACATACACCATGCTGTGTGGGGGACTGAAGATTTGGATTTGAATTGTGCCTCTCTGTAGCTATATTTAATTAACTCTCTCTCTTTCTCCTTCTCCCCCCGCAACCCCTTTGCCAGCAGGAAGTCACCCAATTTCTCTGAATCCAGGATGCCTTCCCTGTATGCCACTTGGACGTTATCCACTGGCTCACTCTCCTCCCAGGGGAGCATCTCAGAGAATGGCCCAAGGCAAAGCAGGCCTTTGAAATCAGCCTTCATGCCCACGGTGCTGTCTTCGCCACTGAGAAACGTAGCTGTGCCGGCCACCTCAGGACAAACATCACTGAGGCGAGGACGCGGCAGTACTAGGAAGAGTAAGTTCTGGTGGGAGGGCGAAGACAGGCCTGTGAGTGTGTTCCCAGGTGGGCAAGTGGTACTGGGAGCCTTTAATTAACACACAGAGACTCAGAAATTAGGTAATACTGGTAATAAATAACATGCTACAGCTCTTAGAGCTGGCCGCTTCATAGAACGCATCCAGCTGGGATGGAAGCCTACGGGGGCAATGTTTACGTGATAGGCACTACAGTGGCATAGCCATGGTGCTATAGCTGTGCGTCTATACTACGGGGTTACAGCAGCAGCCTACAGCGACGGAAGGAGTTCTTCCCGTTGCTGTAAGAACTCCGCCTCCCCAAGTGACAGTAGCTAAGTCAACAGAAGCATTCTTCTGGCGACCGGCTGCATCTCCCCCAGGGATTGGATCAGCAGAGCTCTGACAGTCCAGTGGGTGGATATTTTCACATGCCTGAGTGTCATAGCTCTGTCAGTTTAACCTTTACGTGTAGGCCGGGCCTTAGTCTTGTGTAAAACCTGCAGGTGGATGGACTGGGGGGGTCTGTCAGGAGAGATGGTTTAAAGGTCAAATACATCCTGGTTAAAACACATAGGCTGACAAGATCTGCACTGTCATTTTCCACTCCTTGTCCCTCCTTGTTAAATTAACTGATCTCCAAGCTGCTTAAAGTAAGAGGAAGTGGGGTTTGCAGGAGTCCTTAAATACTGAGGCACTAGGGCTGGAGTCATGGGAGTTACAGAGGGATCAAAATTTGGCTCCTCCAGAATTTAAAGCTTTGATCTTTCAAAGAGCTTCAACATGGCCTCTGATTTTGTACCTGCAAAGAACTGCAGGTGAAATTTTGTGAACAAACATAATTGTGGGTGCATTTGACAGCACTTAGACATCTCACTACTGGATTTTTGGGTGCAAACAAGGGGTTAGATGTCACTTTCTGAGTCCGAGTATGTGTTTGACCCGTGTCCTTGACCCTCATCTTCCCTTACTGCTCTCTCTGTTTGTTGATTGCTGCCTTCTACTCCAGAAGTGGTTGCATTTCAGTCCAGTGGGCATACTCACACTTCATCAGGATGAAGTATAAGATCTATTTATTGGCATAACTGTAATAGCTGAGCACCTCAAATATCACCACATCAGGCATCAGAGAAGCCTGCATGAGATAGGAAAGTATTATTGCACCCCTTTTAAAGATGGGGAAACAAGCACAGAATGAATAAGGTCATAGTGGAAGTCTATAGCAGAGCTGGCAATAAAACCCAAGGCTCCTGTTCTTAGTCCTGCCTTAACCACAAGACCATCCTTTCTCCCAGCTCCTGCTATTCCAAATTCCTGACTCAACACACAAAAGGATCCTTTCCACGGGCTTATGCAGAGCTCAGCGTGTTGCATTCTTTCCATGAGGTTGGCAAGGTTTATTTCAGACAGCTCAGACTGCCATGGAATAAATCTCCAGCTTTATTTAAGCAACTAAGCAATGCATTTTTCAATAGTTTCAGCCTGAACTGCTACTTGAGCTATGTAGAGTCACTGGCAGGGGGTGAGGTTCATTTGCAAAGGACACGGTCAATGTTTTTAGGCTCGAAATTGGATTTATCTTAGAAGTTGTTTTACCTTAAAGGACTTGTTCCCCCACTGTGGTTCTATTTAAAATCAATCTTTCAAGCAGCAGGAAATTGCAAGAGAAATAAAGCATGCATCACCTATAAAGTAAACATTCAAATGGAATAGGCTGTGATGTGCAAACCACAAATGTCACACAGCTGAGAGGCCTGCTAGTGAGGGCTCAGGTATAGGGCTCATGCTTGGGATTAGCTGACTGGCAAAAAAGGGGCCCACTTCTGTGAAGCCAGTGGTAGTTGAGGGTGCACAGCAAGCAAGGTCCTCACCCAAGGACCTTAGCACCTGGCAGGATCAGATCCTTCTAGGTTAGGGTTCTACCCACCTACTTCAATTTGTCAGGGCAGGGGTAGTAGAATTTTGTGGCGAATCAGTGTGTGATGTGTCATTGCCTCACCTGTTGATGCAAGAGTCCAACATGGAAACTCAATATTGTTATGCTGTGTTAACATGGCTCAAAGCCTGAGATAGTTATAGAGTCTTTAATGGTCCTGCAGCATACAGGTGGATCGAGGAACGTCAAGCCTGTCCTGCCCACTGCCATACAGAAGGCAGAAGAGTTAAGGACTTTTTTATTTTTAAATTCCATGGATTGAGTTCAGCCTACATAAACTGACAAAGAGTAGGGGAGTATAGTCCAGTGGTTAGAGCAGGACTCCAGACTCTGGCTCCTCAGTTCTATTCTGGAGTCCATCACAGACTCATTGCGTTGCCTAGTGCAAGTCACATTGTCTCTGTGCCTCATTTCCTGACATTTGGAAAATGACGACAATAGTACTTTTCTAGAACCTCACTTAGTATTTATATGGCCCCAGCATGGTGAGGCCCCAGCCAGACTGAGACCCCATTGTGCTAGGCACTGTACAAATACAAAGAAATGCTGGGGAAATTAATTCATTAAGCTTTGAGATTTTCAGATAAAAAGGCACGATCCGTTACCTGCAAAGTGTGGGGAGTGGAAGAAGTCATTTTTGCTCATCTGTTATTTATATTGGGCCCCCAACCATGCAAAGGCCCCTGCAGACCTGTAGGAATTCAGTCAGACCCTGCCTCAGACAGCGGAGGGTCTCAGCAGCCAACAAGAGCTGGTGGAAAGGGGTGGAACATGAGAGTTTTTGTCTTTTCTGATTCTGTTTAAATTTTCATATTTGCCCATTGGCACCTATTTATTTTAACCTTCATCTCCGATTGACTTCAAAACAATCTTTCTCCCCAGATGGATCACTGCAGAGACCTGTGCAGCCCGGAGCTCTTCCTCAGGTTGTCGGCTCCCTCAGTCGCACTCCAGTTGCCACGGTGCGGCCCCAGCAACTTCAGCTTTACCAGCATGTCTCCTCTCAGCCCCCTGTCACCCCTGGCATGGCGGACCCAGGAGCCAGGCCAAGCGCCTCCCATGATGCTTCATTGCTGCTTGTGCCCAGGGCAGGTGAAAGCAGATCTCCTTCTGTATGTAGCTCAATGATCCTGGATGCCAAAGAATCCCCAGCAAAAAGTGAGCCAGCTCCAAAGCCACCTCCATCAGCTCCGCCCTCCATCCTGGTGAAACCAGATACCTCCCGGAACAGCACCGAAAAGGTAGCGTAAGGCTGAATCATTGCAAGGAACGATACACAGACCCTCCACCTCTGGAAAGTCCAGAAAATCCTGCTGGGACTGACCTTAGGTTTCAGCTGACTATTCACCATGGTTCAGTTCCCATGAGGTCCTTACTTCAGTGAGTCCATACTCAGGCAGGACTCCCAATGCGATTCACTGGGATTTGTGCCTGAGTAAAGTTCTCAGGATTTTGCCCCCTCTCCCACACCCAACCCAACCCCACCCTACGTTTATTGTTGTTAGAATGAAACCATTCACAGGGGCAGATATTTTGAACTCTTCTGTCTTCTGTTCACTTATGGCCAAATCCTCACATCTTTACCCAGACCTTAACCCAGGCAAGAGTCCATGAGGGTTTGAGTGAGAAATGAGTAAGGAGCTCCGAATCTGGCTATTAGAACTCAGGCTTGTCCTACCAGGACTTCTGAGATTGCTGTCTGGCTCCCTTTGCTTGTGTGTTAATTGCTTCTCTGATGAATAGGTTGGGTGTTTTCTGATTGACATCTGCAGTAAAAAAAACCCAAATGGTTTCATTCGAGGAGTGAAACTACCCTGGTGACAACTTTCCCTACAGGTGGTACCTGCAGAATAACTTTGTAAAAGCCACACAAGTCCCACAAAATGAGGCCAGCTCACAGGTTTCTGGTTAGCATATTAGCTAGAGATTAATCTTTCCAGAGTCCCAGGTAAAAGAGAGCCAGAGGATGGAAATCAGGTTATGTATTCTGGGTGAATGGCACCTCAGGCTAGAGGTCAGCCTCTCTCAGAGGTCTCCCCACCATTCCATAGCCTCTCTCCAATGTTCTCCTCCACCTTAACTCATGCTGTATCCAATCCTGCCTCTCTAGGTTCTCATATTGCCCCCATTGTGTGGTATCCAGTTTTTCTGGTACCCTCTATGCTCTTCTGATGTTTCCCGCCTGGTATAGTACACGTTGTAAAGCCTCTAATCACTCCACTGCTGCACACCATCCCAAGTGTGGGGCACTCACACCCCCTCTGTTGTGCACCCAGTCCCCTGCAGGGAAAGTATCTGTGCTCCATCCTAGCAGCCCTTCCTCTGTCTTTGCCACAGAAGATCAAAGCAAAGGAAGAGACTCACTGTGTTTCTGCAGTAGTAACTCTTGGTTCTGTTCACATTTCAGCAAGTGAAAACGGTGCGATTTCAGAACTACAGCCCACCTCCGTCCAAGCGGCACAGCTCACAGCCATCGCCAAACCATCCCAGTGGCAACACTGAGCAGACAGCCCAGCCAGAAGCAAACACCCTGGGCCCTGACATGACAGCTCTCTATTCGCACCGACTCAGCTCCAGCCCAGTGCATCTGAGGAGGACGCCGCACCCAAAGACCCCATCGCTGGATCTTTCTGCCCAGGCTGGGCAACTGACCTTCCCTACCAAAAAGAACTACAGCAGCGTTTCTGAGAACTGACAGGTTTTCTTCCCATTCAATTGCTTTCCTTTTCAAATGGGGCTTTCGCCTCTGTGATAAAATAAGCTCCCCACAGACCTCACACCAACCTGCCACCACCCTGGCTTCTCCTTACAAGAGCTAGCGATCCAGTCAGGAACTTACTAGACCCCAGTTCCATGGGGAGCAAGGCCTCCTTCAGGCACTCACAATAATTGCAGCTGGCCAGCCAGTAACTCGGGGGCCTCTGAGGAACTGGCATGGGGGTCAGCACCTCTCTCTAATTTTATGGTAGAGTCTCATTTTAAATGCATCTGACTCACATCCAGCAAGCCACATCTGTATGTCATGGCAATGCATCAAATGTCATCAGCCCACACTGCCCCAGTGAGTAGATGCAAGCACCACAGACCAACATGGAATGGGTTTGTGGTCCCTGCAAAACCAGTGTTCTCTGGTATCCTCCAATGTCTTGCAGCCAGCCTTATAGAAAAGTGGAAGAGGGAAGAAGCGTGCATATATCAGAAATAGTTAAACCTTTTTTGGTATCCTTTCTGCTATGAAAGCCCATAGAGATCAAAACTCTGGTTCATTACCTTTCTCAGCTCTACAGGATAAAGAAACCATAAATCAAATTCAGGCAGTTCCTGGATGAATTTTCAAGTTCCCCTTTGATGGGTATTTGCTTTAGTTTTTTGAGCCTGGGAGTAGAGGTAATTTTCTGGGGAAGAGAACCCTGCCCTGCAATCAGTACTAAGCTGCAGCTGTTTATGACAGTCATTGGGTCCTTGCAGTCATGTGATTTGGATCTTGCTTCTGCTGGTTGGTTGGTTTTTTTCTGAGTTGTGGACAGTATAGGCAGCACTTCCTAGATGCCTGTGATTCAGCGGCAATGTATTTCCCCCTGTTTAAATCCTAAATGGATTTTTAAAAATCTGGGTCCATGTTGAAGTTCACGAAATAGTTCTCTAAACAATATGAAGGAGATTTGCACATCTCCGTGACATATACCCTTCCTTCCCTCTCCCCATCCCCTACCTTCAACTGATCTTTCACTCTCTCTCTTAGCTATGGAGCCACAGAAATGATAAGCAGAACTGGAAAGTGTATCCAGCGCTTCCTCTGTGACTGATGTTTAGCAAATTGGCACAACGGGTTTGCTTGTCTGCGTGTACTTTTGTTTTTAGTGCCAGTGCAAAGACCGTCCATCCCCTTTCCAGCTGGAGCATGGGAGTATTCGATCTCATGACAATGGCTGCTGGGCTGGTTCAAAGACCATTGTAAAGTAACATTCTTGCTTCATTGCACAGACCCAATCAAATTAACTCAATAAGTCACTCTAAGCTTTCTGGATCATTGGGACAGCCTCCAAGGGGGAAGTTCTCTCTTGGAATTAAGGAAGGGCAATGGATGAAGCCATGCTGTGAACAGACAGGTTTTTTTCATGTTTACATACAGAAATAAATACACTGTAACCTCTAGCAAAGCGCAGTTATCACTGTGCTACACACCAAGGCCTCTCAAAACTTAACAATGGCAGAACTCAGATCCTCCCATTCCAAAAGCACAGCCCCCTAGCACCATAAACTATTTGAAAGTCTCCTTCAGCTGTTAGCAGTATAAATTAAATGACACATAGTTACACAATTGACTCCAGCTAGCCAGATAGGACTATATCTTTTTTGCCTGCCAAAGAGCCAGAACAGGAATGATGTGTGTCTAATCCTACCCAATCTTTCCCATCCTAGCCTCCTTAATCTGTACCCTCTTCCTCCGCCAAGTGCATCTGAAGGGGCTGGAAGCAGAGACTCATGGTACCCAGAAGTGTCCGACAGCCCCGGTCCTCTCATAGCCCAATAATTAGGATTCCTAGTTTTAGATTAAAATAGATATAACCCCTCTGAGACAAAAGTTTGGGATTAAAAAATAAAAACAAAGAAGCAGCCAGATTTTGCCTAAAACTAAACACCTAAAAATCAACAATGCTAAATACAATTATTGGTCTGCAGAATTTTAGGGCAACAGACCACCTTAGGGCCAGAGGGACTGCCAGTTGGGATCTGTGGTGCACCTAGTCCAGTATACTGCCTATGACCGCACCAGATGCTTCAGAAAATGGAGCAAGAAACCCCATGGGGAGATAATCTGCCTCCCCTACCCCACCCTCAGAAGCTCTTGTTTAGTCATAGGTGCTGGAACTAGAGGTGCTGCTGCACCCGCTGGCTTGAAGTGGTTTCTTTTATTTTCAGGTTTACGGTTTGGTTTAATGGCTTTCAGCACCCCCCACTATAAAAATTGTTCCAGCACCCCTGGGTTTAGTAGCTCATCATCACACTGCACAAGTGCTAGCAACTGGCATCTGCTTTCACAAATTTAAAAAACCCCATTCCGTGGCTAGAGGCCACCAATGACATAGACAAAAGGCCTGATTCTCCACTGCCTTGTACTGTGTGCTGTCATTTAGGGTATGTCTACTCTTGGAGCTGGGGGTGTGATTCTCAGCTGGTGGAGACATACATGCACTCTCTCTGATCAAGCTACCACACACAATAGAGAGCCTAGTTACATTGGCGACACGGACTAGCCACCTGAAGTATGTACCCGTCTGAGAGGGTAGGCACGTACATGGAGGCAAGTAGCCCCTCCTGCCACTCACACTGTTGTGGCTACGCTCTTTTTTAACATGCTAACTGCATCAGAACTAGCCTGGGTAGGTTCCTCGAGCTGAGAATTACACTCCCTGTACAAAATGCAGACATAGCCTAAGACTTGGGTCAAGGGGATGTAAAACACTACCAGTGAGAAGTAGCAATGTACCCTCAATATGCCCAGACATAAATGACAACACAAGGTGCAAACGAGTAGAAAAATCAAGCTGTTTGGTTTTGCTAAAAATTGTCACTCCGATGACTAATGAACATTTTAGAGACAATATCCCTTAGCTAAAGATTCATAACCCCTTTAAAAAAAACTGCACCAAAAAGCACTAGATTTCCCCAGATGCACTCAAGGAGGCAGAAAAGCCTAATAAACATGGCCTGGATTAGATCTTTTGGTAGTTTATACCTATAGCTGGGCAGGTTTGCCTGCTCATGCCCTACCTCTGAATGATGATTTACAGCACACTGATGAAAAGCAAGGGGGCTTTCTATGACCCACTCTGAAATCTGCTGGTATACTAACCAACAGATTTCAACAGCTGACTCCTCACGAGGTTTATCTAAAGAAGCTTGGTCAGAGCACGGGGGGGAGGAAGGATAAGGAGGGAAGCCACCCAGGAGAATTAATTATACAGATGGAGTCACTGGCAAATGCTGCAGGTGTATAAAACAGTAGAAAGTGAAACTTTGGGTTCAAAATAGAGAGGCTATGGGGGGCTTTTGCCTTTTACACCTCTGGAAAAAGCCATTTTACCCATTCATATGAACACACTAAAACCAAGCCTAGTGTGATTGTCTTGATCAGGCCATTTCTAGAGCCAGAGGTGTAGTTGCTCTGAACTGAATGTGGCCCATGGGCCTGACATCCATGATCTAAAGCATTTACCTTAAAGTCACACAGCCCTGTGACCGCTCGCTTGCCATTAAGCAGCAAAAACTTCCTCCTTTTGGGCTGCAAGGACTGGGCATGTGAATGCTGAGGCATATGCCAGCCCGAGCAGTTAAGATTTTCACAATATATTTCACAGCTATTCTTTGTAAGGTGGGGAGTTAAACTTCCGCTTCCTTGCCAGTACGGCAGGACTTGGAGCAGCCATTTCAGTTCTCTTCTAATGCATGAATTTCACTCAACGCTTCCTCAAGTCCATAGGAGGAAGTTAAAGAGAGAGAGTGCACACCAGCTATGTTCTCCAAAGATGGAGAGATTAGGTTCCTAAAGTGCGGAATGCAAGTGCTGGAACAAAGTGGAATATTGTAAAGGAGATGCTCTATTTAGACTTAAAAGCTCATTGCATCATGAACTAGTGGGATCAAGATGTTTTGCTCATACACATACACTACGTCTCTGCACTAGATGGACAGAATGATTCCATATAGAATAAAGAGCGAGGAGTCTTTGTGGCATCTTAGAGACCAACAAATTTATTTGAGCATAAGCTTTCGTGGGCTAAAACCCACTTCATCGGATGCATGCAGTGGAAAATACAGTAGGAAGATTTCAGAGTAGCAGCCGTGTTAGTCTGTATTCGCAAAAAGAAAAGGAGTGCTTGTGGCACCTTAGAGACTAACAAATTTATTTGAGCATAATTGCATAAATTTGTTAGTCTCTAAGGTGCCACAAGTACTCATTTTCTTTTTAGTAGGAAAATTATTATATAATGTATATATATATACACACACACACACACACACAGAGAACATGAAAAATGGGTGTTGCCATACCCACTATAATGAGAGTGATCAGTTAAAGTTAAATGGATTAAGGTTTCATGTTCTCTGTGTATTCATCGGATGCATGCAGTGGAAAATACAGTAGGAAGATATAAATATAGATAGATATATCTTCCTACTGTATTTTCCACGGCATGCATCCGATTAAGTGGGTTTTAGCCCACGAAAGCTTATGCTCAAATAAATTTGTTAATCTCTAAGGTGCCACAAGTACTCCTCGTTCTTTTTGCTGATACAGACTAACACGGCTACCGCTCAGAAACCTGTCTATGTAGAACGTTACTGATGGCGGATACCTTTCCTGGCATATCAGCTAAAAAAAAAATTGTCAGATTTGAGGCTGTCAATTCCAATTTTGCCTTGAGCATGATTCATGACACCCCACATTCATCAACATCCTAGCCTGATGTGATGGATTGGGAAGCCTAACACAGCTCCAATAGAGATCCTCTCTGATTGCATCTGATGAAGTGAACCGTAGCTCACGAAAGCTTATGCTCTAATAAATTTGTTAGTCTCTAAGGTGCCACAAGTCCTCCTTTTCTTTTTGCAGATACAGACTAACACGGCTGCTACTCTGAAATCTCTGATTACTGGCAATTAACCCCTGGGTTTAGAAGGCTACGGTGTTGTAACTTCAGAACCTCAAAAGATCAGGGTGAAAGAGCAAAGGAGAGCCCATCAGTAGTTTTGGAAACTCACAGGCAAGTTTAGGGCAGTCTGCATCCAAAGAGAGTTTTAAAGAAGGAGAACAGAAAAGAAGCAACACACTAATTCACCAGTAGCTTCAGACAGAAACATATGTTGAGGTAAAGTCACCTTGTAAGGTTAATCTGTAGCTGGGGCAGATTTTCCCACAAGAGACTCCATTCAGGCAGAAAGAGGTTATGAGAATGATTAACTATTAATAACAGAACGCCGTTCATTCTGGGGATACAAAGTTAGGTACCCAGTGAGAAATCTGCAATGGAAGTGAAGCTATATTCCCTTCTCCCTTTCCTGAGTCCTGCCATCCATGCAAAGGCGTGAAAATTGGTAACATGAATTTTTTTGTGGCCTGATTTTCAGAGATGTGGAGCATCTGCAGCTCCCATGGATATATTGTAGGAGAGCTGCAGGTGCTCGGCACTTCTGAAAATCAACCCATTCCAACTGAATAAACCACTAAAGTCCTTCCTCAAAACCATACTTACACTAGCCAGATGCAGCTTGTATTAGCATCAGTTCAGGAGCTTCCCTTTCATGGAAAAACAAAACAAAAACCACCTCTCTCCATGTGGATGACAAGATTCAGTGAGATGAGTGAGGTTGCATATCACCTGTGGACACACGAGTTTGCAAAGCCACACAGCTATCCATTATATGACACTGAATATGGAATGGTGCATACCCCCAAACAAGTGCCACATATTCAATGTGATCAAAACACTTGTGAGCTTAGACCTTGTTCCCATTGCATCGTGACAGCACTAACGGAATCAGGCCGATCAAAAAGGAGAGGGCTTTTTGCTTACATACACACGCATGCTTTGAGTCCTGAGCAGTGACAGGGAAAGGAAATAGTGACAGTGAAATTGGCACTTTGGTAAAATAGCATGTAATTATTTTGGGCCAGGAGATATCTCAATCAGAGTGTTTCAGTGCTTTGATGCCATGGTGATAGGTATCCTAAATATACCCAAGATATATAGAGAGAGACTGATGTGAGGAGATCAAAGTGGAGGTGGGTGTATTTTAAAGTGACAGCTCTAAAGACCGGTTCTGTTGTCTTTGTCCAACCCCTTCCAGCTACAAAATACACCCACCTTCCTGTTTAATCCCAACCCTGTTATCGTGAAAATGTTGCAAAATATATTATATATATCCTTAGCCACCTAACCCTTCACAGTTGGGTCTTTGCTGCATACCTTGGCCTCTTGGCACATCAAAGAGTAAAGGGGCTGGAACTAAGGTCTTTCTACTCCAGAAGCAAAGGCTAAAAGAAAATCCCCATTAAGGGTTAAACCATGGCTTTGCCTTGAACCTTGAGTAAAGAGCAGCACATTGGTTCCTGGTTTGCTCCTGAGGCAGTACAATAAACTGCCTCAGGTCGTGTCTGCACAGGGAAATTGATTGGCATAGCCATAGCAGAATAGGCTACTCTGCTATAGTTATGCTGGAATAACTCTCCATGTCGAGACACTATTCTGCAATTTTAACAGTGACTTTTATTCTGGAATAGTGTCTCAACATTGGGAGTTATTCCAGCATAGCTATACTTTGGATTCACTGGGTACTGATGTGGGTGGGTTTTTACAGGTAATGAAATGTCAGTTATTACTTATGTGCTCTTGTTGAGGGGTTTGGAGGAAGGGGTTACTTGGAGTCAGGCAAATCCTCCTTATCCCTATGCCGAAGATCCACATCACACCAGTTCTGATCCAGGGTTGCTGGATGTGGCCTACCACCTCTGCTTGTTAAGGTCACTCATTCCTCCCCAGGGGATGCACATGATGTCTCTGTAGCACTCTTACAACTTACAACTCTTACAACAAGCAGTTCTTACAACTTGAAATAGTAAGACCAAAACTTGCTGTATCACTAACTCCATTGCCTTCCATTTTGGTCACAGATCATCAGACAAAGTACCAGGTACAAAGAAACAAAAAATGTTGGCAACATCAGAATATCATTCCAGATGTACTGCAGCATAATGGGTTTGGATAATGAAAATATATTGCTCTCTATCTAACAAGTGAATGTAAAAGAGCAGGCTGGTCACACAGAGCCTCCTACCATCAGTAGAGCGCGTTGATTGTCTGAAGTGCATAGAAAAGGAGCCCTGGGATAGGGCATAAAGTAGTACATTGGGGACAGAGGGGTCGTTAATGAACCTCTCTCGAGTTTGTGAACAGGGCTTCTCCTCAGCTCACAGTATCAGCTCATTTTATATGATTAGTTAATGAATTGGAGTTCAGATCAGATTATTCATCAGCCCTGTTTTAATTGCCTGCCTAACTGCTCAAGGACCTGGAAGTCCTTCAGTAAGTAACCCAACCCTTTCAGCTTGAACTGCAGTCATGTTTCCTGATGAGAAAAGAAAAGAGAAGAGAGAGCAAAGGCGAGACCCAGAACATTTTAACCAATTGTTTCCATGAGTGTCTCTTAAAAAATACAACCATGCCCCTAGCCAGACTTGACTGCACTCAGACTCACCAGAGAGGCAAACCAAACACCCGTGTAATGCTGATGGGATAATTTACCAGTTCAGGCCCAAAATCTGTTCTTCCACCTGTTACCACAAGGAGGAGAATAATGAAAAAAGGACTATCTTACCCATCAAAAACAAAGGAATGCACAAAGAGGGGCAAGCAGGGACACAGGCCCCCCCGCTAATCAGTGGGGGCACAGAACTCCTCTAGTCCAGGGGCCGCGGTGGGAGCTGACAGCTCCTCCAGCACCAGGGCTGTGGCAGAGGTACAAAACATGCCCTCCAAAAGCAGTGAAATTTTAAATTCCTGCACATGCCCCTGATCAAAAACGTTACCTGCCACGAATAGAATTTTGCAAGGCTACTTTAGAGGTAACCCCACCTTTACTAGAAGGGACCATGACAGCAACAGAGTATGAGCTTGACAACTGTAGTAGGGACAAGTTGCAGAGGGACAGTATCTGCCCCATGATGGGGGTGCCTAATGGAGAGTTTTATCACTTGATGAGATGGATGGGCTGGGATTATAAATGGGTTACACTCAAGGAGGATGGCCAGTCACATGGAAAGTAGATTCAGAATCATATGTTTACTGGGAGTTGAGAAGAGCTGAGACATGCTATGAGGTATATATGCAGATCACGGGCTACATAAGTTGGGGTCCCTTTTATTTGCTTTCTTATTTTTGAGCCTTCAGTGTTCACATTTTCTCCACAACCAGTAGAGCTAGAAACTTTTTGTAAATGAAAGCTTAGTGTCACTTAATTACTTGACTCCAGAAGCTGGGGCTTTTTGGAAAAAAAAAAACAGATATCACAAATCTTGTGATAAACTAGTCAAAGTTGAGAACGAGGTGTACAATACCAAACCCTGGTTTCTTTCCCTCTCATGCTTGGTTCCTCCTTTCAGACACTATCCAGGTGTCTTGATACTGGAAAGACAGGGTAGCATCCAGGAAAACAGTGTACTGAAGAAATAGCATCAGATGCTAAGGAGAATTAGGTTGTGACTAATTTCCATGGTAGGTAGAGCTGCATTGTAAATATAGGAGGACATTAAGTAACGTTTGTTGGATATCCATCTCAAGAGTGCTCAGAGAAAAGCCAGGAAGAATCTTCTGTTTGCATCAAAATAAGCGACAAAGTTTACAATCATTCTTCATCACTTAGCATGATATATCCACAGCAGTGATCTTATCTAACATGGGCATACAGTCCATTTACATGTCATGATCAAATGACAAACAATGCACCCTTCTTCTCCTGCTCCAAATATTTTGCCCTGAATTGGCAAGGTCATTTTCTAAAACTAGCATAAGGAAGACCAATTAGCTTTAGTGCATTTAGACATCAAATCCATTCTGTATTTTTAGTCACGAGGTATTTTAAATAGGTCACTTGTTTCCCAGTGTTTCATGTTCTGCCCTGATCCTGTTAATTTTTCATAAACTACAAAAAAAAAAAGCTAAAACACTAACGGGTCTGACCTAAATCCACAAAATCCAGGTTAAAGGCTAAAAATCTGGGAGGATAGACAGTCCTTAGCTTACATAGCAGTTATTTACTTAATGGCAAATAGAAAGAGGCATAATGCAAAATAAGACTGGTGTCAGCCTATGTTTTTCATTCTTACCTCTGAACTGCCCTTGCTTTGAGGGGTTACTTCAACCTGGGGCTCTGTAGTTTAAGCTCTTTTTTGTTAGCTTTATAGCAAGTTTTTTTTTTTTTAAATGAAAAACCCAAAAGAGGCATCAAATATATAGCTGAAGAGTAAGAAGGAGGAGCGAGGCCAAATCAACACCACATGCCTATTGTATAAAAATCTCTTTATGTTACTATAGGCAAATGTGTCACTGTTGTGTTATAGATACCAGGCCAGCTTCTTGAATCCACTGTGGCCCCTTTACTCTTCTCGGGTGGCACAAAGGGACTGCAAACTACTGAGACAACCGCTTCTGCCCTGGAAATAACCCCAATATAAGGAGGATTTTCTGGTAGCCCAGGACACACTACCTCTCCTCACAGATCCCACTGCGGAGGTGCAGGGGATGTGTCCACAGCATACTGCCCTCCAGCTATTCTCAGTGACGAAACCACCCACAGGAGTTACCACGTGGAAAACCATTGTAAATTACAGAAGCCATTGGGCTGCTCTAAACTGCTCAAGGCCCAACAGGGCCCAGAATTTTGGGAGAACGACGGTGGGCTTTATGCTCCCCTCTCTCTCCCACTACTCCGTGCCTAATGCAGGAAAGCAGTAATGCAGGGTTTGGCCCACAAATTACGCACACAAGTGATTTCATATGTATATTTATAATATGAATCATTTACTAAATAGAGTCGTTACAGTTTATTGTGTAAATAAATATTTAAATGTAATAAAATCCATAGGAAGTGGTTTTTTTTCCTTCATGCACAGTGGCTTTTTAAAATGTTTGTTTTCTATCAATATCTCAGCTGTTTAAAAAGTAACATTTTAAAACACCCAAAGTGGTCCATGTTTAGGGCCTGATCCTGCCCAGTTAAAGTCAATGAGAGTTTAGCCATAAGCTTCAGTGAGAACCTGCACAAGCAATTTACTCTGAATTCCGCTTTGTAAAGGAGACTGATTTTTTGTTTGGTTGGTTTTTAAATTCTACCGATGGCAGAAACCACTATTTGGAGTGGCTCCTGATAACCATAAAAATGATCAAACTTGGTAGAAATATAAACATGAAAAAAATAGACTATCTGGACCAAGTTTCAGACCAAAATTCATATATTTTGAGGTCAAAAGGAACCATTAGATAATCTAGTCTGACCACCTGCATAGCAGAGGCCAGAGAATTTCATCCAGTTGTTCCTGTATTGAACGCAATAGCCGTTAATATGGCTGTAACAGTGCATTGTGTTATAAATGAATAGAATGGAAACTTTGTTTTTTTAATAGAAATAGTAGAATATATTTTCTTCCCTAATTTTGTGATGGGGTGGGAGGGCTTTGGGAAGGTGGACAGAACCTATAATTTTAGTCTATTGTTTAAAAATAACTGTTGTATAAATTCAGTTATATGAAGTTCATTTTTAAAAGGTTTTTCAATTTAACTCACTTTCCTCAAGAGGAGGAAGTGAAAAGTTGATGAACAAAACGTATCTTCATCTTCTGTTTTGTATTAACCACTGAGGTATTTATTTTGTATTACATCAGTTGAAAGGCTCTGGTTTTAGAATGCTCTAAGTTACTACAAATTTACTTGTTTAAGTTTATAACTCTAATGTTTAGGTTTGTTGTCTGTAGACCAATAAAAAAAAAGTTATCGTGACTTGAGTGGCGTACTGCACCTTATACACTGGAAAAGTAATTGACAGCCTGGGTTTCAGAATGAGTGCACTGCAAAAATTAGCTCATCACACGGTGGAGGTCAGCAGATGGAAAGTATAGATGTTGGTCAAGTTTTCAATGCCAAATATGTATATGATTCCATTCTGTAAAAGATTTTGTGTTGCCATGAAATTTGTTTTTGCATGAAACAATAAAACAATGTTTATTTTCATTTATTTGAACTGAATTCTACTTCTAGTCTTTCCAGTTGCCTGCATGAAAGGAATTATTTTAGTGCTGGTTTCAGGGGACTTAGCAGTTCTACTCTGAATTCAGCCATTCCTTTCCCAGCTACTCTGGGAATGTGGTTTGAGTTTGGGACTCTAGCTAGGACTACCATGGCTGTCTCCCTGTACCCATCACCATTTTGACACCCGATTAAAGGGAGATCTATCTCCCTTCTTTGCCTCCAGCAAAACTGCAGTAACCTACAAAGGACTGTATTAATAATACTTTTAGTACTAAGAGCGTTTTCCTCCAAGGATCTCAAAGTGCTTTTCAAAAGGAGGGTGAGTATCATTAGTCTCATGTTTAGGAGATGGGGAAATAGAATCACAGAGAGACTAAGTGAGCCGCTTAGGTCACACTGTGAGTTGTTGGAGAAAGAATCCATTTCCTTCCACTTCCAGTTTCATGCCCTATTCACGGCACTGTGCTTCCTCCCTTAAATGTGTTCCTATTCCCCTATAGCCTTTTCAGTTGCAGTGATTTTGCCACTGCTGCTTTGCTAAGGAATTGCATGCAAAATGCTTTGCATTAGGATTCCAGATCCCTGTGCCCAGAGAGGAAGGTCATCAACTGCGCCATACTTCAGAGCAGGCCCTAGATCATTGAACCACACAATATGGCTGCACTGTGGAAATTTGCAGCTGAGGCGGTTAGGTGTTATATCATGGTTTAACATACACAGCCTTGCAGGATTATTAGAGAGCCTTTGCTGTAAGACACAAATGCATTTTATTTCTAAAAATAAAGTATTTTACATTGGCAGGAGGGGGAAGTATCATGAGTCAAGCTTTCTGGCTGGGAATTTTTAAACTAGGGTATCTTTAGCTGTAGGAGCAGTGTTTATTTCATAGATCTGGGTCGTAGCTCTCCTCTTCAGCTCTCGGGCCACTTGGCAAACAGCAAAAGGCCAGCAGCAATGAACTGCCATCCAGTCTTCACACAGGGTTCCCTGGGGAAAGCAGGAAGATCATTTCACACAAATGGAATGATCGTGAAGCAGCTTTTCTGCCTCGCTATGTGTTTCCTATTCTTAATCACCCTATAGTAAGAATGAGTTGCTGGGCCTGATCCGGACCTAAATCAACAAGTTACTCTGGATGCACGCTGGGGTAAATGAGATCTGATTTGGGCCCAGTGTCTAACAGGATCTTTTCTAATCTGTTGGCCTACAGAAGATTTAGGATCTGTCTACACTGCAAGCAGTGTACCATTAATCTAGCTAGCTTAGGTACTGGATAGCACTGAAGCCACAGCAACATAGACTTCAAAGGCTAGCTGCCCGGATAATTGCTGAGGGTCCTGGGCGGGCTTGTACAGCCCGTATTGAAGCCCATGCTGCTGCAGCTTCGCTGCTGCCAGTACCCAAGCTAGCTAGATTGAAGCTAACCTGGCTCCGTCTACATGAGCTGCAGTTACACCCCCTGCATTGCAATGCGGACATAACCTTAGGCTCTGACCTTGCACGGTGCTGAGTGCCCATGACTCCCATTAATGCCAATGAGATTTGAGGACACTCAGTACCTCATAAGCCCTTAAAGTGTCTCTCCACATGGTTTGAACAATGTTTTTTGTTCCCTGCCTATCCTGATTACATAGCAATGAATATTTTACAGCATCAGCTCGGGGCTATGTAAATTTACAGCAACAAAAACAACAATCCCCACCCACCTACCCCCACAGTTCTGTTCTTCCAAAGTACTTTAAAAAACATGAGTAGTTGCTTGGAATGGGCATTCTATCATAAATCAAATGCTGCCTTTGCTTCCCTGCAAAGAGAAAGGGCATTCTTGAGGTTTAATGTATTAGTTCTGCTTTAAAAATGCAAAATGCATCTGAACAACAGATTTTCAGATCACAAAAGAGTTTGGCTAGAGGACCCCGTTCAAACCCTAGCTGAAAATAAGGGAGGAGGAAGGCTAGTGTGGTGCTGAGCTCCTTGTTCTCAGGATCAGGCCCCAAGTGAATTTTTTACATTTGCAGAATTTCTACATCATCAATATTCAGTGGCACACTCCAGCACACTAATCCCGTTTGACCACGTCTACAGATATTAAACTTGTTCTGCAGTCTCTCTTTTGGGAACAGGAGGAACATGCCTCTTAGCATTATGTAAGCTGCACAAAACAGCCTTCCCCCCCTTCCCCAACACACACACACAAAGACTTACTCGTATCTTGTATTTCTCTCTGGCGCCGACTCTCAACGCTAAGGTGGAACCTGGCAGCAATGGGAAACACAGGCACTCCTCATAGTGCCTTGCAAGGTTGCATTCTAGACATGGACTACACAAGGCACCACAGACACCTGCCAATAACCACAATCACAGGAGTGCTGTAGGTTCACACTTAACAAGAGGTAAACGGCACTTTGAAAATAACCTGGAACATTCATTTCATTCTAATAGCCTCGTCCTCTTGGGGATAAGAGCATTTTAAACGGGACTTCACAGAATTCTAGCGAACCCTACACTAGAAGGGAGGTGGTGGCTTTCCAATGGCTTCTTTCTGTGGGCAACTCACATGCGTCCCATCTCCTCTTCCCAATCCCCTCGTGCTTAGTTCTCAACATGTAGCTTTCTGCAGAACACCAGGTACAGTTTCATAAGTCACAGTTTGATAATCACTACACTACTTGGCCCAGCAGGTCATTTTTGGTTCGAATGTCTATGGATCTATGAACTATGCTATCTTCAACCAACCATTGCTAACAGGATGCTGCTATGGTTTTACTGATCAGCGTGGATAGGGGTTTTAATCTTTGAGCTAAAATAATCAATGCAGGTATACAGTGGATCACCCACCCCCATAAAAGCAGTCTATAGAACACTTTTCTAACACTAAAGGCCTTTTTATACTACTGTTCCAACCACAGCAGAAGATACAGCTCCCCTGTAGTGCAAATGAGCCCTAAATCTCCAAAAGAGGGATGAACTGACAGCAAAGCTTAAAATGCATTGTATTCAAAATATCTTTCCAGACAGCACTGAATCCCATTTGGCTTCATTTGTTTTTCCTTTTTAAAATTCTTGAAAAAAGTAAATTCAACAGCATTGTTATCACACAGTTTCATGCAATTCATTGAAATGTCTTTTGTTCTCAAATCAGGAGTAAAAGCACCTAGGATAGCGTTTGTCTATAGCAGAACGATAGCACAAGTGCCCACTGCAGGGAATCATTCATTTAATTTCTTTGGTGACTATAGATACAGTATTTTTCAATAAAATATACTAGTTCCTGTTCTGTTAAGTGTGGTCGATGGCCCCCTTTTTAGGAAATCTTCACATTAATCTCAGTGGAAGCCTGAATCTGTAATTACTTTAAATATTATGCTCTGAAGATGACAAAAACTGAAAGAAATAGTCCAGCCACAGCCCTCAACTCACCTCATCTGGGAGCAGGGTACTGGCTAAGACAACAAAATCAATGTAAATGATCCCAGGTGACACAGCAGGAGAAACTAAACAGAGTTCTTCCTCCAGAAGGGTATTTTCACCAGTGGCTGAGAGCAAAACTTGAAAGCCAAAAATGAATCCCCAGTTCTATCTTCAGCTGAGTAGTGATGTCAACCAAGTCTTGCAACCCATTTCTAAGGCCCAAGCAACCCACCCAGAAATTGGAATTAAAAAGCCCTGCCCCCCTCAGTGTAGAACTCCACTGATTTTAGTAAAGTTGACAGGTGTAAATGAGGGCATAGTTTGACCTCATACCTGCATCCAAAGCTCAGCTGAGCTACCTTCAGACAAACAAGTCAAAGCAGTAGCAGGTTTCTGAGAACATGCATATCAGCTGTATTGTTCCAGCTGCTCCACTGTGAATTTAAGTTCATTGATCTATTGAACAATTGCAAACACATTCATATGCCTGTTTGTTCCATCAACTGGCATTATAAATACTTTTTCCATAAAATAAGCCGCCCTGGCCTTTAGAGTTGTGTTCAGAATAAAATTCAGAGCACTAGTTCACAGTGAGCAATATGAAGCACCTTGTGCCTTTGAAGTTGGCTTTGCTCCAGATTGTATTCTTACTGCAAATTAATAGCGAGGATTTGCTACTGTTGACATATTATGAAAGAAAGCTAAAAGGACAAAAGAAAACAGAAGAAAATAATAAGCGAGAGAAAATAAAGACAAGAAAACCTGAAGTGCTATTAAGGAAATAAAACATCAAAAGAAACAAAGGAAAAACATTGCTATTAGTTGTTTACCTTCTGTTTAAAGGATTCGAAATTTCTGCAACAATTTTTTTCTTTTCTTTTTTTTTTTTTTAAGTTAAGGCAAAGAAACAATTTCTTTTTAAAGATCAGATGGAAAATGATGCGTGTTTAGGATTCCATGGTGTGTCAGACTAAGACACAGAAGGCAGGTTCATTGCCTTTTTTAATTTTTAGCAACTGCTTATACACAAAAGAGTTTGTTTTTTTTTAAAAAGCCGTGATTACAAATATACTAGCTCTCTCAGTCAGGGATGGCAGGAAGCCATTGATTAATGGCACCTAGTTAGTGCTTGTTAGGGTTCCCTCCCCACTCTGAACTCTAGGGTACAGATGTGGGGACCCTCATGAGAGACCCCCTAAGCTTATTTCTACCAGCTTAGGTTAAAAACTCCCCAAGGCACAAATTCTCCCTTGTACCTTGGATTAGGTAACGCTGCCACCACCAAGTGATTTAGACAAACTCAGGGAAAGGACCACTTGGAGTTCCTACTTCCCCCTAATATCCCCCTAAGCCCCCACACCCCCTTTCCTGGGGAGGCTTGAGAATAAACAAGATGAGCACAGACCAACCTTGGGATTTTTAGGACACTAAAAAAACCCCAATCAGATTCTAAAAGAAACAGAACTTTATTATAAAGGAAAAAGGTAAAAGAAGGACCTCTGTAAAATTAGAATGGAAGATAATCTTACAGGGTAATCAGATTCAAAAACACAGAGGATTTCCCTCTGGCCCAAACTTTAAAGTTACAAAAAGAAAACCAGGAATACACCTTCCTCTCAGCACAGAGAAAAATGCAAGCCAAAACAAATATAAGCTAACGCATTCCCTTGCTAGTACTTACTAATTCTAATGGAGTTGGATTGCTTGATCTGTATCTGGCAAGCACCCAGAACACACACAGACCAAAACCTTTTTCTGCCCCACCCCAGATTTGTAAATATCTTGTCCCCTTATTGGTCCTTTTGGTCAGGTGCCAGCCAGGTTACCTGAGCTTCTTAACCCTTTACAGGTAAAAGGATTTTGTGCCTCTGGCCAGGAGCGATTTTATAGTACTGTATCCAGGAAGGTTGTTACCCTTCCCTTTATATTTATGACAGTGCTATAAGCCATGGGGATAATGCAAACTCTCACTGTAACACAGGAGGGGAGGATGACAGGAGAACTACTAGTTGGCCAAATCCTTTTTGATGCTGAGCATCCCTGACTCCAGCCGACTTCCATGGATGATGATGGTACTGAACACTATTCAGGGATCTAGCCCAACTACATTTAAATTTTCCCGTATGACGGCTAATAACACTGACATTATGAGCGGCTGTAGCAAAAGGAGTTCATTCGGCAGCCAAGATTTAACATAGCAGTAGTAGAGAGGGGCTTATGTGTTCTATTCCTCGCTTAACATAATTTATGACCAAATTAAGTAAGGGAGTAAAGAGAGTATATTTCCTTAAATGTCTTCCACCCACTACATGCAAACCCATAGGCACACCCACATTACAACTCTGGGTTATCCTACCATTTTCTGGTTGGTTGGAAGGGGACTCAAGTCCAAAGAAAATGGAAAGTTGAAAATAATGAATTTTCACTTTTCTGTTATTTAATTAAACTGAAATAAGGGAGGAGGTGGAAAGGGGCTGTATTTCTGGCTTTAGCGCTTATCATTTCAACCCCTCAGTGGCATCAGGAACTCCAAGTGCTATATGTGGATATGCCACCATGTAAGTAAATTTATTCTCTCTAATTGAAAAGAATTGGCAGAATTAAGGCTAGTTTAATTTTGGGCAAGTTTAAGGATTGGTTTTCAAATAGAAATTAATACCTTCTGATCCTCCTAAATGAAGACATCAAAGCCCTTGATAGACATACAGGAACTTAGTCTAACATGAGGCAAAGATATCATCCCCACTTTGCAAATGGGGAACCTGAGGGACAGAGAAGGTAAGCGACTTGCCGGAGTTTACGATCATGATACACCATGTCTTTGGAAGAGCCAGGAGAAGAACTCATGATTCCCAAGTGCTACGCCTTAATGACTCAACAGTCCCTGCTTCCTTCCTTCACACAATTACACTAGCTTTTCAGCTCTGGAGAATAGCCCTTTTTCAATTTGTTTGGTTTTTTAAATCAAATTCTGTCTAATTTAGGTACTTGTCTGGCCCTGATCACCGGAGTATCTGGGCACCTCACAGTTTGTAACATATTTATCCTCCCAATTAATGGCAGTGCTATTATCCCCATTTTACAGATGGAGATCTGAGGCACAAAAGGTATGTCTACACAGCAACTGGGAGAGCTGCTCCCAGCTGCAGTGCAGACATACCCAGGGAGGCTAAGGATATGTCTACACTGCGACCCACAGCACGAAGTCTCAGAGCCCAGGACAATTGACTTAGGCTTATGGGACTCAAGCTAAGGTGCTCAAAATAGCGGTGTAGATGTTCAGGCTCAGGCTGGAGCCTAGGCTCTAAAACCTGGTGTGGGAGGAAGGTCTCAGAGCCCTGGCTCCAGCTCAAACATTTACACTTTTATTTTTAGCCCCACAACCTGAGCCAGAGTCTATTGACCCAAGGCTCCGAGATTCAGTGCCCTGGGTTTTTTTTTTTTTTTTTTTTTTTTTTTGCAGCACAGACATACACTGACTAGCTCAGTATCACATAGGAACGGAGTGGGGGAAAGCTGGGACTTGAACTCAAGTTTCTGGCTAGCGCCTTAACCACTAGACCATCCTTCCTCTCTGAACTTCTGTTCAAAATGTGTTTAACACACAGGTAATCCAGTAACATGCATCTCTCACAGTACATACTCTATCTAACAAAATGGGGCATTCTAGTCATCAGATGGAATAGCATGCCTTCCTATTGGTGAGAGTAACTGCTCTTAAAATGGTAACTTTCAGAATCAATTCTCCTTTGACAAGGATTGTTCTCAATATTCTAGAAACTATCTTCAAGAACTGATCAAATATTTAAAGCTATTTTGCAACTATGGAAGAAAAGTAGATGGGGGGGGTGTCTTGTTCGGGGGTCTTTTGATACTGAGTGTGTTGGCACCAGAAACTACAAACTACTTCCACAAACAATATGGCTATAAGCAACTCACTAATGCACAAGAGCAAACTGATTTGGCTGGACATATCTAGTCTTTCAGAACCATCTTCCCTGGTTCTCTCAAGTACTAATGTGGTTTAATTCAGCCCGCAGGGCAGGAAAATAGACAGAGTCCATTTAGCTCAAACCTGCTACAGGACACCCTCCCTCTCTTCTTTCTGGCAAAGGAAGCAGCAGCCATTCAAATTAGGGACCATTCCAAATGCAGGGTAGTTGTGGTAACCACTGTCACAAGTACAATTAGCGTAGAGATCTCACTTTGATCCCATCATTCGCTCACACTATAAATCACCATGCAATATGATAGGATGGGTATTCCCTGTTCAGAAAAGGCACAGATCTCGCAAATGCAAGTCAGCAATAGAGTTCATTAGCAGGGCTGTATAGAGGAAGCTTGCAGGATACACCACATAAACCAAAGGGGAGGGTGTGTGCAAAAGATTCTTTGTAACTATTTGCAAAATCCTTAATGAGTTCCTGCATTATGTGGGCTAATACTTTGTTCTGTTAGCCACTAATTTACCTGGAGCACAAGAAAGAAACAGAAACATGGAACAACTAAGGCCTCTGTGACTGGCCTTCTGTAGCTTTCAGCTCCTGAATTGGACTCAGGAGAATTGGTCTATTCCTGACTTTACCACTGATTCACTGCGTTAGCTTCAGTAAGACATTTAATCTTGCAATGCCTCAGTTTCTCCACTGACAAAATGGGACAATAAAATACACCCAACCTTTAGAATCCATGAAAGAGGTTTCCACAAGCATTATTTGTTTTTATGATTTGACTATTGATTTATTGGGACTCTCAGTTATACTAATTTCATTACCCCTAAACCAGCCATGATGGATGGTCTGATCTTCAATCTCCAGTGTCTGGTAGCTACTCTATAAAAGTCTTTTGTTTTCCTCCCCGTATTACTTGAATTCACCCCCAAAGGAGGAATTAAAGCAATGATAAAACACTGCAAACTCTTACAAACACTCTTGTCACTGCAGATACCAAAGAGACCAGTGGTCCAGTCTCCTCCGGTCCGTATGACTGTTGTGACGGTGGACGTGCCAACCCCATGAGTCGGCTGAGTTGTCACGGGCTCTGTTGTCTTTTTGTTCCTGATTGAAAAAAAAGCAATAAAATAAAAAAGGGGGCTGGGCTTTTACCACCGAGGTTGCTCATAAATGAAGCTATCCTGAGTTTGACAGAAAAAAAAGTGGATTTCATTATTTTAGTGCTACCAATTTGCTTTATGGCTATCCCCTTTTGCAGTTTCGTTTCTCTCTGCTTCTGTTGCTGCTGCTCTCTAGCCACTCAGAGTGCGGCAGAAAATATAGCTGATCACCAGTGCCCTTCAGTCTCTAGCAAACAAAGAAATGATCAGAAACCAAGTACTTCAAGTGCAAATACACAATATCCATGCAGGTTTCAGCATCCACCAGTCAAATCACTGCGATTTACCTCTTTAATGTTAACGCTTGAAATCTGTTCCTAGCACGGACCTTTCATCCTTATGATGAATGTATCAATTCATTCATCATTTCACCAAAGGGGGTTTTCAAGGGACTGATTTTTTGCTGAGTGGAACGATTTCATTTGCGTGCTGAAATGTATCATTCTTTCCTTTTTGGACGTAGCATGAAACTTGGCTTCTGAGCCAAACCCAACTTCTTTCCAAAGTAGCACTGTGAGCAACTCTTCTGGTGGAACATCTAAGGCTGCATTCTATGCTGCATCTTCCAAGAGGTGCAGCCCGGAAGACGCCCCCAAGGGGTGCAGGGGATGCCAAGGTACCTTTAATCCCCCTTTGTACCACCCAGACTGTGCCTGCAGCCAGTGATGCAAGCCCCAAGTTATGACAGCATCCTCACAGTTATCTGCAGGGATCTTTGCGGCTCAGAATGGTAGAAGTACTCAGTGCTACAGCCACTTCCCTTCCTTTTGCCAACACCCTGGTCTCCCCCATGCCATGTTCCCAGCCCTGCTTCTTACATCAGGGAGGTTGGACTACAGGGAGAGAAATCAGATCTCATGCTTCAGAGATTCAGCCAATTGCCTGCAGGGTCAGGAAGGAATTTTTTCTCTGATACACAATTGGCCAGATGTATTCTAGGGTTGTTGAATGTTTTTATTATTAATATTATATTATTATTATTTTGCCTTCTTCTGAAGCACCAGAGACTGGCCGCAGCTGGAGCCAGGATGACAAACGGGGAGGACCAGTGCTCTCAGGTGGCACAGAGAATCCTCTTTTTTAGATGCCTGGCTAGTGTGTCTTGCTGATATGCTCAGGGTCATACAGATCATCAGATTTGGAATCAGGAAGGAGTTTCCCCCCATGTCAGACTGGCTGGGACCTTGGGAAAGTTTTGTCTCTCTCTCCAGCAAGGGTTGTAGATCATCTGGGCACGTCTTACCTAATCTATTTCCTGACATTGCAAGGGCCTCAAGCAGTGGTACCTCGCTCTCTCATGTTCTCTGCCTATGGCACACAATGGTTTAGTTTGCTGAGGAATGAAATGCTTTTGTCTAATGAAAATCACTAGGCTCAATCTCAATGCATCAAATCATAGAAATGTAGGGCTAGAATGGACCCAAAGAAGTCATCAAAGCCCAGCTCCAGTGCTGAGGCAGGGCCAAGTAAACCTAGACCACCCCTGACAGGTGTTTATCCAACCTGTTCTGAAAAACTTCCAATGATGGGGATTCCACAGCCTCCCTTGGAAGCCTAGTCCAGAGTTTTGCTACCCTTATAGTTAGAATGTTTTTCCTAATATCTACCCTAAATCTCCCTTGCTAAAGATTATGCCCATTACTTCTTATTTTCAGTGGACCTGGAGAAGTGACCACTGTCTTCCTTATAACAGCCATTAACGTATCAGAAGACTGTTAGCTGGTCTCGCCTCAGTCTTCATTTCTCAAGACTAAACAGGCCCAGTTTTTTTAACCTTTCCTCATAGGTGGGGTTTTCTAAACCTTTTATCATTTTTGTTGCTCTCCTCTTTCCTAAAGTGTAGTGCCCAGAATTGGACACAGGACTCCAGCTGAGGCCTCACCAGTGCCCAGTAGAGTGGGACAATTACCTCCCATGTCTTACATAAAAACACTCCCCAGAATATTAGCCTTTATATAAGGGTATCTGGGTGAAAATTCATAGACTGTGTTAAACAGGTGGTCAGACTAGATGATCTATAATGGTCCCTTCTGGACTTAAACTCTATGAAATCAATGAAACTAGGACCACGTAAACTGGCATTATTAAGCACCTCCAGCATTGGGAGAATTTGCTGCAGGGCTTAGGTGGCACCTTTACAGCCCACCCTACATGGCATGGTAGCAGCAAAAACAGAGGCCAGAGTGGGAACCAGAATCTGGCTCCCAGGTTTATTTCATACAAATGGAGTGTCAGACCAGAGTGGTTCAATCCCCATTTAAAAACCGAAAGTTGGCAGCAACACACTTGCATGGATTTTTTTAAATTATTTATTAAAATGCTCCACATAGTAATTAATTTTCCCTAGGTTCAATAATGTTGTTCCATTTGCTTTGAAATTGAAACTGCAAGAACCTTAATAGAAAGGGATTAAGAGGTTGACTAGTTTCTCTGGACTTCTGGTGAGGTAATGCTGCTTTTTCCTGAACGGCTTTTTTTTTATGCTTCTTGCGGCAATGCTACCTCAATAAATCACAACAGTTAAATCTCCACTATAGTATCCTCTGGGAATTATTTTTTCCACCCCCTTTCTCCAGCCGTGGAAGAACACAGCAGTCTCTATGCTGTGCTAAATCAGGGAAGCGGTCCTTCACGCCAATATCAATAGGTTCTGCTATTAAACTATATAACTCAGGAGGGAGCCTGTATCAATCCTCAGCATTTCTTAATGTTATTCTTTGTGAGAACACACAACAATCCGCTGATAATTTGGTCAATATTTTGACCATATGGGACAACGCACACTTAAATTAGAAATGGCAGCAAGGTCTCGTTGACATGGACCTAAGAGCCAAGAACTCCTGGGGCCCAGCCACCCTCTTCCACAGAAAGTCCCACAGGAAGGCGTCCTGTGGCAAGCCAAACACTGTAGAAATCAGGGGTCTGCTGGAGAATTAGATTCAGGTGCATGGAGGCCCTGTGCCTCCACACTGGATTTGGGATCCACTCCTTCCATGTTGCCAGGTACTCTTGTACCTTGGGTCAGTATAGAGGGGCTCTGGTTCATGAAGTAATATAGATGTTGGCTAGATCAGTGCTTGAGTCGTGAATTCTCTGCAGAGTTGCTGGAGCGAGGCCTGCGGGTTGTAGGGCTCTCTCAGCCTCATTCCCAGCCCCATGGAAGCATGAGGAAGGCGCTGTGGAGACAATTAACACACACATGCATACAAGGGGGTAGATCGTCTCCATGTGGGCCAAGGAAGGCCAGTCGAGGCCCTGAGCTGTAATCCCAGTTTTGCACTGATGCTTCTCAGGCAAGACTCAACCGCAGTGTATCATGCCATCATTTCCTATGCTATAAAATGGGGATAATGCTTATCTATCCCACACAGGCAATTTGAGAGTTGGTCAGTATTAACGCAGAGCCATGTGAAAGTGCAAAGCACTACATAAAAATTAAAAATGAGTATTTGCAAGTGTGCTCACTCATGGCGGTTTCCTAAAGGGGATGCTTTTCCTACTCAGCAGCTGATTTGTGTGTCTCATTAACATTTAGTTGATGATTTCAGCTTGTTCCTAATCTCAGTGGAGAATAAATCCAGCAAAGGTCAAACTATCTTGCTAACCCAATAAGACACTACTGAAATATATCCAGGTGTGGTTTAATCAAAATTTGGATTCTGGGTGCTTTTTTGGTGCCCCATGCAGCCAATGGTTCTCTCTTCATTGGCCGTGGAGGCCTAAAAGGACCAATCAGCTTCTCAGCTGAAAGCCACATGGGACTGAATAACAAGGAATCCTCTCTAAGACTTGTGCCAGACTGAATCCTGTGCAGAGCACTATACAGCAGCAAGCACATTTCTCATCACCTGTAAAATATATTTTTCTTTTTACACACAGTTTATTTATAATGCCAACTGCGAGGTGAAAGGCAGGCACCTTATTTTATTTCTTACCGTAGAGCAGAAAGAAAAAAGGTCCCATCTTCAGGTGTTATTAGGGAGAGGAGAAGCGGCGCTTGGATCTCGGGCAGTGGGGCCGCCTCAGTCACACTGAAGCAGCGACTTCCCAAGCAGTTCATTTGGGGTTGAGGGGAAGGAGAGAGAAAAATTCTCCTTCTCTGTTGAATTCGGAAGTGCCTCAAGGTTGTTCACAGCTGAATGCTGATGACATCATTGCATGCTCAGGCCTGAGGTCACAATGGGGTCCCAACAGCTGAAACAACCCCCAGATTAGAAAGTGAAACCGCCTCCTCCCCCAGAAATTACACTTACACACACACACACACGTCTTTACGTGAAATTTGAAGATAGCCCTTCTGCCTCTAAACTTTAGTCTTTTTGTCTAAAGCATGTCTGTTGTGGATGGGAGAGTCCTTTAAAATGATGAATGACTGGAGATACAGACCTGAAGTTTAAAGTGATGGAAAATAATCCAGACCCCCCTTGATTAAGAACTGCTAATCAGTGCCCATGTATGTTTTTGCCACAGATGTGATTTAATGGCGAGTGGGCCTATAGCTCCAGCTAAGAAGAGTATAATGGTATAAATATCAGATCCAGTAGTATACCACCTTTCCCACAGCCTTTCCCACTACTACTACTACTAACAGTTATAGTATACAACTAATGATATATTATTTCACAGTGTTTGAAGAAATCTCTCAACAATTTACCAAAAGCAATGTGAGAAGACAGTTGCTAAGGGTATGTCTACACTTAAAACACTGCATCTGTGCCACTGTAGCACTTCAGTAAAGATGCTACCTACGCCAACAGGAGGGTTTCTCCAAGAGGTGGCAACTAGGTCAATGGGCGAATTCTCCCATAGACCTACCGCTGTCTACACCAGGGCTTAGGTTGGTTTAACTGTATGCTCAGGGGTGTGGATTTTTCACACCCTTAAGCAACATAGTTATACTTCCCTAATTTCAAAGTGTAGACCAGGACTAAGGCTGGAGGAGGGAGAAAAAGTGGGGGAAGGGGCAAAGAAAAAGCTACAGTTTAATGCTGGCTGACCGCTCTGAAAACAGAGTATTCTACCAAATCAAGTTTGAAGGACAGAGATAAACCAGGCACAGGAGGAATTAAGTGCAAACAGATTTAATGCCTATGTAAGGCAGCCAGGAGTTCGTGCTCATGATTTTGTTTAAGCTATTCCCTGTTAAAGCTTGCCTAACCCCCATTCTCCCTGTAAGGCAAAGTCATCCCAAAGTTTTGCGAATAAAACGGGGAAATCTAACACATTAACAAATCCCTTTATCTTGTCACTAACTTTTATCAGACATAAATTGGCCAAAGTATTCACATTACAGGCCCACAGTTCACATAGAAAGGGTTGGTTTCTTGCCTCCATTAGAGAAGGCCTCCCACACTGCCCCCGGTTATGTTAATTTAGTTTTTGGCAGGACCCATGTAAAAGATTGTTGATATTGGAGTTTTCCTTGAATCTTATAAGATGGGCACCTGATGGGGGGAATCAAGCCACATTTGTGTCATTTTGAAGAGGACTACAGCAAAAGAGGAAATCTATTTTCAGTTTTGAGTTTATTTTTAGATTGCTGAAATCTATGCACAATTTGGCATTTCATCCAATCTGTGATGGCTTTAAGTAATGCAGCCATAATAATTTGCATGTTTATAGCACTTTTCAGGGGATCTCAAAGTTTTAGAAACATTAATGAAGCCTCACAAAACTCCTGAGAGAAAGGAAGGTATTTTAATACTATTGATAAAGATAGGGAAACTGAGGCACAGAGGAATTAAGGAAATTTGCCCAAGGCCACATAGCAAGTAAGTAGCAGAGCCTTGATCGTTATTCTGCTCTATACCACTGGACAACACTATACATTAGCATGAGCAAAAAATTGCTCATCAATGTTTTTTAAAAGCAATTCCCTGTTAAAGCTTACCTAACCAAACTTTTTCCAGTAAGGCTATGAAGAAGGCACAGAGTTTTGCTACTAACATGGAGAATCTAATACTAACAAATCTCTTTATATAGTCATTAGTTTTTATCAGACAGAAATTGCACACATAGCTTCATAACAGTGACATCTCCTGGAAACAAACAAACAAAACAAGTCTAGGAAGAATAATCAGTTTAGTTTGTCTGGACTGCAGGAACCTTGAGCAAATGTGAAGCATATTTGTCTTCGTTTTTTGCTTCACAATGAAAAGTACAAGATTTTCCTCCTAGAGGCCGCCTTTAAAAAGCAAATCAAAACATTATTTCAATGTGCAATATCAGTCTAAAATCTTCTTTGTTCTTGCAATAAGCTTTAATACAAACACAAGCTGTTAAATGACGAGGGTCAAGAAGTAACCTTTGCTGTTAGAAGGTTTTGGATCAAATCCAGTCTGCCCTGCTTATCTGGTTGTCAGTCCACACTGCTTCAGGATTATTTATTTATTTGCTTGCTTGGTTTCCAATTTCTGGAGCCAGCCAGGGTGATTCTAGACAAGGAAAGCATCTGTTTAAGAAAACTTTTTTTATCATCTCCATTCTACACTCTAGCCTGAAACTCAGCTGGGCTTTTTGGGGGTTGTTGCCTATAACATCTGTAGTTATTTGCAGCAGCACCCATTCGTTACTTCCACCTGGATATCCTCCAGAGCTGGTGGAAAGGTTTTAGGCCTTATTCCAAAGGAGGAGACTTGTAATGTAACAACAACCTATAGGAACAGCACAGAAGGGTCAGCTTTAGTATATCACCCCATTCCTGGGGTAGCACCTAAACCTTTAGCATTCTGACTTGAAGTTGGTGTCAGTGTTATGAACTGGGACCATGGGGGCACATCTGGAAATACTTAATTGTGCTTCATTCCTTCTCTGTTCATTAAAATCTCAATTTTCAGTATCAGACCCAAAGCTGCTTAAGGAAAGTCAAACAAGTTGTGACATTCAGAGCCCTGACAATCTGCTATAAACTATTTGCTATAAATAGGTAAGAAAAAATAATTCTGAGTCTAAAAAAGTGATTTTATCCGACAATTGAGCCTGAAAAACCTGAAGAGTAGGAGGAAGCATTAACATCCTACAAAGGTTCTCCTAAAGCGGGATGTATTCACAGAGACATCGGAGAGGAGAATGGGTGTATGGAGATCTTTTGAAAAAGATCCAGTGTCAGAGGTAACTCCTGCAAAACACCAAATTGGTTGTGATGTGCAAAGTCTGTTTATTCAAGAGCCCTTTTCATAGACTCAGAAGAATTCTTTGAAATGTATAAAAAGCCCATTGCAGTGTTCAATATACACCTGTGTGAAATTAGGAAGCCATGAATTAAAGACTGTATTTCATGAGGATAATGAATGTAAAGCAAAGACTGTAACCTGACAATGCAAGGTGTACTGAGTCTGTGGCCTGCATTGTGCAGGAGGTCGGACTAGATGATCATAATGGTCCCTTCTGACCTTAATATCTATGAATCTATGAGTCTTGAGCTAAGAGAAGCAGCAAAGAGCACAATGGAAATCAAGACTTAACACCTTGAGCTGACCAAGACATTATAAATGGGGGGGGGGGGGAAATGATCATTGCTAACACATGGAGACAGGGGCTATTAATGGAAGCTCACAGAGGGACTGACATGATGCTAGCGCATGACAAAAAGAGGATGAAATCATGCACTGTCGGTCTGAGTAGATGGCATGAAAGTTTTTCCTGCTTGATTGTAACTAAATAGCCAGACCTAGTTAGTCATGTTTACTGCATTGTTTGTCTAACTATAGGTTATAGGTGATGCTGGAGATTAGCGCAGATGAGAGAAGGCAACTGAGAAGGCAGGCAGAATAAAGCAAAGTGAGAGCCTGAGCTATTGAGGGTGCGAGAAGTGGGTTTCATGTCTCAGCCGCATAAGGCCCAACGTAATCTCACTTGTCAACTAGATCTGTTTTCATTGTCCTTGGCTTCCTCACCATTTGTTATTCCCAATCTTTTTACCTTTTAAGGCTCCTTATCTCGTTTCCCTCACTCTCTGATTTGTACTACTCTCTCTACCAGCAGCACTCTGCTATATATACTGCCCTAAGCCACCAAACGTTGAAAAAACAGGTAGAGAGGTAGGAGACCAGGAGAGGAGAGGATCTCAAACTCAGTGAGGTCACAATGTCAAGAAGAGGAAAAGTGATAGTGTCAAAAGCAGCAGAGAAGATTGAGGAGGATGGGAATGGTGCAGACAACCTCAGATTTGCTGATGAAGGGGTCAATGGACCTTATTCAGTCAGTTTACATACATATTTACATATCTGTGCCTACAATATACAGCACATACTTATTACTACTTTGATCCTACCCACTTTTATGAACACACCTATTTCTTTTTCCTGAGTATAACTCCATCAAAAGCATGGAGTCTTCTGAGTATTTATTTCCTTGGTTGGCCAAAAAAATCCGAGTCTTATTGTCAGTGTTTTATATACTTACACAAACATAGGGGGTTTGGTATGCAAGTCTCGCTGGATATTTATAACTTTGTGCCCTGGTTGCTGTAATTCCCTCTCCAGCATATATAAGCTTCAGAGCAGGTTCCTACTGCTGTGATGACAAGCATTCAGCAGGCACTGTAATTGCACAGTTAAAATAGTTCATTTTCTTACTGACAAGCCCTAGTTAAAGAGGCGTTAGGAGGCAGCCTGGTTTCCTGAAGAGAAACAAATCAAAGCACAAAGAAAATGGTGAGAGAAGGACCAGTGTCTTTCACCCTCAGCTAGGGTGACCAAATAGACAGTGAGAAAAATCGGGACGGGGGTGGAGCGTAATAGGCGCCCATATAAGAAAAAAGCCCCAAATATTAGGACTGTCCCTATAAAAATCGGGACATCTGGTCACCCTACCCTCAATCCCCTTTTCCACATTGGTTAATAAGTTATTGAAAAAGATGGCGGCTGCAACTCTGCCCAGGTTTTTGGACAGGATATTGGAAAGGAAATAGAAATGGCTTGGATTATTATTTATTTTAAAATACTTCAGATTTTTTCTATGTGAGTTCTTGAAGACCTCTGGCACAGCAGCAGTAAAGCCCACATTTCTTCACATGCTCGGTCATGTCCAGAAGAATGGTGCCAAGTACAGCCGAGTGACGTTTCTCAGCCATTTTCTGTTGCAAAAAAATGAAAAATTTGGGTCAACCTTTCGTGAATTCCTGTCGATTGTGCCAAACTGATTTGGCTGAAAGAGCCTTTAAACAATTTGAAGGGGATGGGGGGGGGGGGCGGGAAATCAGAACATCTTGTTTCAACCTCTTTGAAACAAAAACAATTTGATTTTTCAATTAAAAATGGGTTGGGGTTTTTTAAAGTAAAAAAATGCTCGACGTTGAAATGAAACATTTTGTTGCGGATCGAACAAAACATTTCTTTTAACCCAAAACAAAAGGTTTTCTTCAACTTTTCACTAAAAATTTTTCATTTTGGATCAACCTGAAATGAATTTTTTTCAGAACTGCCAGAGAACCCCAAAAAAACGCTCAATTATTTGCACAGCTCTAGTTCTGAGCAGTTGACCCTGGCTACCTCCACTTGGAAACCATCTGATCTTCATACCATGAGGGATTTTCCAAGATAAGATTTACAACACAGAGACTGGGACATGGAGATGAACATAGAATCTAGGGTAGCTTTGACCAGTCTCGCTGACTGAGGTTCTAGAGGCTCTTTGGCCTGTGACCTTACAAGTTGGACTCATTCCCCCCTGCTGACTTGTAAAGAGGGGAGCTATAGAATTCATCTATGATAGCTGAGATCATTAGTTACTCCCCGCTGCTACATCAGCTGGAGATAAATGGAGGGAACAAATAGCACCCATTCTAAAACAATGGTATTGGCTCCCGGGTTCAGTGCAAGGCTTTGCCCCATAAAGCCTAGTACAGCTGAAGTAGAGCCTCTCTCCTTGAATTCTGCAGTGGTAGCCAGCTTCAAGTTAACAATCCCTGCGGGCCAGGCATGCTCAGTGGGTGGCCCTCAGCTATGGAACTTATTTCCCGCAGTGGTGTGAGGGTGAATCTTTAGGGATCAATACAAGGCCCATTTCTCAAACATTTGCTTGGTGGGGCTTGGAAGGATTAGTGGCAAAGGAACGTTTGTTTATATTGCTTGAGGTTTATTGGTATATTGCTTTAGTTCTCTCTACAGAGGCAAATAATGTACGGCTAATTTCATTTGTAAATGCACACTGCCATGGTGAGAGGGGACATCATGTACATTAAAAATACACATCATAAGATGGGACAATGAACCGGGAGACAAGGAAAAAAAACGACGTGGCAATATTTAACTCTCATGATGATTGTCTTAGACTAATACACTATTCCCTTTATTTTCACCCCCATTATAAATTTGATCTTCCTTTGGTAACATGCTAAGACAAGTGCAGTATCAGAAGTTGTGAAACTCAGTCAAAGACTGATTGTATAGAACAAACTATCCCATCTCTGCCTGCCACCAGTGACCTTTATTTAAATACAAATCTGCACAGGCAAATTTTGTATGTGTAAGATTTCTAAAGCAGTTTGTGTTGATCCTCAAGTCTAACATAGACCCTTCTCTCTAGATGAGCTGAACACACTTTATAGTACTGTTGGTGCCTTATGTTAGAACAGCTCATTTTTAAAAAACAATTTGGTATTCCTGGATTACCAAAAGCCAGGATTGTTCAAACTGAAACTGTTTAGGAAAAGGACACTTCATCTCTCCACTTAAAAACAGTTCTATAAACAATTTTAAGAACAGAATAAAGTGCAAGGCCTTAACTAACAGCATCTTGCTTGAGGTACATCTCAATTCTTAGTATCAATACTTACCTATTATATTTTATATTCACTGAGGAAACTTCCATGTATGCTTTCGTTGAGGGGTCCTCACTATGCAATTCCTTCTGAGCTACAGGTCCATATAAAAATCCATTGCACTGTGCTTAAAGCTCCACCCCAATCTTTGAAAGAGTCATCAGACAATGAAAGTAAATGCAATTTTTCCGCTTTCTATTATTTTTATCAATCTATCCATAAGAGATCTGATCACCTTCTATGTACAGAAATCAGTATCTAGCAGATAAGAATAATACCATGTAAAGATTTGTCGAATACCAAAAAGCTGAGGAGCTCTTGAAAAAGGTAAATTTGCTGTCTCAGCATTTGGGAAAATTATTTCTTTCAAGAAAAGCCAAGGGGAAGGCAGAATATGTTTATTATACCTATATTTAAAAGATTTTGGGGCCGTGCAACAAAAGATTTCTTTTAAGAAATGACAGTTATCTTGGTCCATTACAGATGTTTTCAAAGCCACTCTGGAGTTTTAAAATATCATATTAACCCAGGATCAAGCTGGTGTAGTCCACAATTTAATGAATTAGATAGACAATTGTGTCGCCGATATCCGCTGTCAGCCCGTTCTCGGTTATGCAAACCCGTTTCTCAGCCAGGTCTAGGTGGAAGACAGCTTGCTCTAAAATGGGAGTTTTCTCTGCATCTTCTTTTCCAAGTACAGGAACACGACGGGGGCCCAGCACAGGATCATCAAATCGCATTAGTTTTACTTTAGAGAGCTCTACAAAAGAGTTGACAATTCTCACGTCACAGGAGTCTATACCCAGGTTAGTGTTTCACCCAAACTAACCAGAATGGAGGTCTTTAATTAATAATGGGCCCTTCTAAGGCACCTTTCTTCAAAGAAATGCACAACACTTTATAAACACCAATCAAGCCTCAACAGCCAAATGAGATATGTACTGTGACCATTTTACCAATGGGCACAGAGGTTATACAACTTGGTCACGAAGTAAGTTGCTAGCAGAACTGGGAACAGAACCCAGGAGACCCAATTCCTAAAACTCAGCACTGAATGACATTAGCTGCTTTTTCAGCAGCTATTACAGACCACAAACAATACTTCGCATCTCAAGAGCTTTACTAATGAGCCCAGAAACTAATTGTAGAATAAAGCTCTCTCCCACCACTAGCATTCATCAGATAGAAACTCCTCAGGTACTTGCTTAACAGTGATATCTCCTAGAAACAACAAAGATCTGGAAGAATCACTGATGTACTCTCTCAATTGTTTTCGTTCATTTCAAACAGCTGCAGGACTCTAGTTAACAGTGTGTATGAGTCCAAAATGTATTTTCTTTTCTATTTGTACTTTGCCATGCACATTACCTTGCACTTCTTCCTCGGAGAATTTTTTTTTTAAATACTGTTTCCCTGTGCATCAATATAAAATGGTCTCTTTGTTCTTGAGATACTACAAATGCAAGCTGTTAAATCACATGGAAACAGAAGAAGCCTTGGTGTTACAAGCCTGTAGACCAAGTCCAGTTTTCCCTCCATATCTGGTTGCCAGTCTGCACTGCTTGAGGTTTCCTTGTCTGGCTCTGGAATTAGCAAAGTCTCCAGGCAAAGGAAAGCTGCTGTCCCTTTAAGAAAACTTTCAACATAGGAGCCTGAAATGTAACATTTTTCCACCGATGTGTTTGATGGCCACAGTATTCTCCAGTAAGTAAGTCAGTAAGGAGAAACTAGGAATTGCTAAACAAATCAATTTATCACTGTAAACTGGAGAAATACTTGTTTTAAGTGAAAATTAAAAGGAAAAAGTAATCTCTAAAAAAATGCTGCCCAAAAGACCTCTGAAATTATGCTACTTACAAAGCACTTTTTATTGTCAAGGCACTATAAAAATATTAATTAAATCAACCCTTACAGCACCAGTGGGAATAGCTATTATCCCCATTGTACAGATAGCCTCTCTGTACCTCAAATATGCTAAGGAATTTGCTCAAGGCCATACACTAAGTCAATGGCAGAGCCGGTAGGAGAACATAGGGTTTCCTTTCCTCCATTCCATTTATGCATCCGGTCCCTCTAACACTTACAATGGGGGGATGCTATATTGCAACATAAGGCAGGAGTCAAACAAAAGTCATAAGGCTATATATGTGAAAAGCAAAGAATCAAGAACAGACACTGAATCACATGAATATCAGCAGCAACCTTGGAAGTCTCCAAGAGAAAGTTTGTGGAGGTTACTTTGGAGATAATTTCTCTAAATAGGAAACCACACAAGCACAGCACAATGGGAATTTGAGATGGGCATAGAGTCGGTGGGTTTTTTGGATTTGTTTAACACACATTTTAACTTTACCATGACCCATTTTTTCATTGTTGAAAACCACCCTGAGCTGCTACAGGAGGTTGCAGCACCTACATATTCCCTCTTGATGTTTATGTGACACAGCTACCTCTTAAGCTATTCTAAGGGGGGTGGAACAGAACAGTTTACCTGCAGAATCTGGCTCCTAGGTGACAAAATGCATTTGTCTTAATGCCTTCACACTGCAGCTCATTCCTGCCAATGAACTCTAAGGGCTTTCCGAAAGATTCTGCTGGTACTTTTCCCCTATTTCTTTTAACACTATAGAGTCTGAAATTTAAAAAACTCGAAAATAAGGCATGTCGTGTATTAAGAAATGGGAGAGAATGGATGGCTCAGGGGACTTGTAATGGAATATTGAGCCTTTCACATTTAGGCCACTGGTTCCAATTTAGCAGAGGTCAGTAGCAACTGATAGACCACTGGGCAATTTTTGAGTGGTCCCTATTTGAAATGAACTAATGGCTTCTGTCTAGGTTCTTAGAGGACAAGTGTTCACATTATAAATCATGATATTGTAGTTGGCACTGTTTGGCCTTCATGTCAACTGTCTTAACTAAGTGGCTTAAGCATGAGATGCTCTATGACAAAGAGCTCCCTCCCTGAAGATTGTGTCTGTAGATTGGATATTGGTAAGGATATGGGGTGTAGAGAAGCTTTGCAGGATAAAGAAAAGCTTTGAAATGTCCATCTGGCACCTTCTCCTCAATGAATTCATTTAAAATGTCTAAACAGAAAATAAATTGCAATCCGGCAATTCTCTTCAGAGGGCTCTAACCTAGGAAGCCCTCACCCTCCCGGAAGAAGCTCCATATAGCAGACTATTGGACCATTAAACCCCCCTCTTGGAAATCCCTGGCACAAGAACACATCCACTGTGCAAGTCACTGATAGAGAGTAAGTGGCTCTTTTGGCGGAGAATAAAGGACTAACCCAGGAGGGAAGACAGTGCTTAGTAAGGGTGCATATCAGAGGCACACTCATTTGCTTGTCAATAATGCCTCAGCTTCTGTAATTTTACACCTCAAAAGGAGTATGCACCCTGCTTTATTCTGTATTCACATTCACTGAGCACAGAGCTCTTTGCTTCTTACTAAGCAATTATTAAAACAGGCCAAATTTCAGAAAGAGATTCCGGTCGATAATGAAAACCTGCCAAGCTGCCTCCTGTTTCCCAATGTCTCCTGGGAATTCTAGAAAACTGCACAATTGTTCGAAGACTGCCTGGTTGAAATGTGATATCTGTACTTCCAAACCAGTGTTTACCTTTGATTCCTCTGTCCACCTTCATTAAACGCCTGATTATTGCATCTCTACCATCTCCTTGCCTGACCTCGATTTTTGTAGAGAAGTGGCCATTAGATGGTTGGGGGTTCACCAAAAATAGAGATATGCTGGGCTGTAAGACATTAAGAATAAACACATTTTTAAAAAATCATGCTTTTTGTGGGTAGAATCACACAGGAAGCATGCAACCAGCAAGGGAACAAAGAAGTGTCCGGCACCCAACTGCATTCTAGATGGACAAGAAAATCTTTTATTCAGAAATACTGAATACCAGTGGATGGATGCAAGCACCATCACAGACCTAAAAAAATAAACTACAGCATATGTATAAAAATGTTTATTGTTTCTTTAAATACACTCAAATGTTTTGCTTTTAAGATATCCAAATAGCCATATTAAATTATTATAACTAGCTGAAGGATTGGTACAAGGTAGCATTACAGTGAACTTCACTGAGCTCCATGCCTTATAACTCGCTCTACCTCTCAAAGATTTCACTACAGAGAGGTGTAATGAGGTCTCAATTTACAGGCCTTTGTTGTTTTCACAAAATGCAATGCAGTATAGTAGTACATTATTGCAGTTATCATAATCAAAATCACAGCACATTTTGGGATGCATCGAATAAAGAATAGCACTTTCCATGTGGGAGCTCAAATTTCTTTAGACCCTGAGCTTTGTAATACCCTAAATAGATAGGGTGAGTAATAACTCCATTTTACAGACAGAGAGAGGTGAAGCGAGACTTGCCCAAGCCCACACAGGATTTTCATGACAGAGCCAGGAATAGAACCAAGGGCTCTGTACTCCCAAGTCTTGACCCTGTGCTTTAGCCACAAGATCATGCATCCCTCTCTAGCAAGTGTTATTCTTGTGCACTTGTGAGTGAGTGAGTGTGGTGGGGGAAAGGGCAGGGAGGTGTTCCTCCAAATTCAGTCACCTGTGATGAGTCTCCCAGTTACTGTCAATTAGAGAGGTTCTACTGAAAGTAAACTTAAGATAAGACACAATCACAGTCATGTTAAATTCTACATCTAAAGAACAAAACAAGCATCACTTCTTTAAGTTAATTCAGTGCTTGCGAGAGGCATATTGGATCAAGAACAGAAGGAGAGTTCTTCTACTGATCACACAACTTGAAACCCCAACATTACCCTGCCGACGTGCTTCGGCCCTTAACCAGATGCCCCACTTTTCGACATGAAAAGGTAGTTTAGTCTCCACACACATCCAGTCTGTGGCTTTTTTCAGCAGAAACACCGATCAAGGGGAAGGTAGGGGGATGGATGTTTATGATGTGCAATCACATCCACTGGAAACTGGACTGAGAACAAATTCGTATATCACAGGCTCCTGGATAGCAAGATAGCGACAATTTAGTTGTTATCAATTTTAGCTTAACATGAGCCAGCATGTCCTGTCACTAAGTGCCCTGAGCCACCTAGCCCTCCTGTGCATATATTTTTTGATGGGAACACATCCTCAAATTGAAAGTCATTTTATTTTTTACATCAGTTAATGATGTACCCTGTATTTCCAATGCCTCTGGATTTCATAACTTACTTCCATTCTGAACACAGAAAAAGGTTTTCCAGGAC